CGCAAAATATGTGGCCTCGCAGACCCTATCACAGATGAGTATTATTTTCTCAGGTTCAATGTCCTTTGTATTAAGTTATATGTTACAACAATATTTGTAGGCTTCTTACTAAGTCAATTGTTTAGTTTAGTTGGCATATAGGCTAATTGTCAATATGTTATCAAAGTTTAAGAAAGTTTCTAGTCTTGGAACTACCTACTCTTAGTGGATTTTAGTGGATAGCTAGAATTTACAATAAAATATTATATTAACATAATATAATGGAAAAACCTATACAGTCAACAACCTCACATTAACTGTGGTGTGGTGATGATTTATGAACAAATGGTTAGATCGCCAAAAACCTACACATTAACCCTAGCAGTGGCCAATGGACCAAATTGGTCCATTTCACCACTCACTCTTAGAATGACCATGGACCAATTTGGTCCATTTATGTGCAAAAATGTTCTTATAAATAGTTATTTGTGTAACTAGTGAGCAAGTGGCACTTTGCTGCACACAAGAGCAACGGAATGATCTCGAGTGCAGCAAAGGCCTTTTGCACTCGTGTTACACATTATATTTTCCTACAGTCACTATAAACACATAAATAATTAGTCTTTCAAACACTATACAACACATTTTTAGGTTCAGCTGGCAACACATATAGGTGCCCTAGAGAAAGTAGTCCCCGGTCCGTATCACTCCGCTATTTTTTCATCGGCAAGCAATGTGCTCCGCGACTTTAGAAAATAGTTCCGTATATTTTTTTTAATTTGCAGTGGTTTCCGTGCCCAAAAAAATGCTTTAAAGGTATTTTCTTGTTTATTAAGATCGTAGGAATGTTTTAAAAACGTTTAAAAGAAAAGTCCAGAAAGTTCAGAAATACCGAAAAGAGAACATAAACTATAAACACGAAATGACATGTTAAATCGTAGTTCTAATAGTCAATCAGCTGCTCATAGTATTATTATCTTTAAGTGTTGCCAACCTATTTCCAAGCGTACAAGGATTACGTGCATAATAGAACTACGCTGTTTTGTGTTGTTTCGTTGGAATCCTGATGTGGGCCAAAGAATAAACCGTACGACTAAGTATAAATATGCAGCAATTAGCAGCTTTATGTACTATAAACAGTACAAGGAAGCCAACTTTGTCGGGTGACTGTAGGAAAAAATAATTGATATTAACTCTAAAGTGGACAATTGATATACCATTCAAAAGATAGCTGATGTGTCTTTTCTAACATACTCTATGTTTAAAAAAATACCATATGTTATGTTTAATAAGTTTACTTTGTTTTTGTTTACATTCATTGTTTTTTAGGTTTCATTTCAGAATACACCTATTTTATTTTACACATCTTTTATTTAATGGCATTCTAAACTTTCATTTTATTTATATAGATGAACCTTCTAGCTTCAATATGTCAACAAAATTGCAATTTAAATTTGAATGAAAATTTCTGTGTGAATCGACTAACACTTGTAGTGTAGTGTTTCCCAAGCGCTAAACACAAAAGGCTTAGAACATCATAGCAAGGTTAATTTTGTTCCTATCTAGAAGCGGTTAGTACCGCTGGACATCAGAGGATTTGCTGTATATTTAGTATAGATTATTTGAACGATAAATTAATAGCAAAGAACATATTATGATTTTCAGAAAACAGGCAATTTTACAAAAATTAACAAATGGCCAATGGACCAATTGGGTCCATTTCAAAATTCCATAAATATAGGCTATATAATGGAATACCTGTTTATAATTATTCAAAAATAGTATTGTTTTGTAGCGGAAAAAACGTAGAATAATTTAGTGTTGAGAAATAGCAGCCCTGCTCACTACCGTCAAAGGGGGCTACTTTGTAACAATTTTTTTGAATAATTTTTTTTTAAAGATATTTGATTAGAAAAAAATGCTAACTTAATTGTCCGTATTTGTATAGGCTATCAAACAATGTAGGCCCTATAGGACAAAAATTCAGTGTTGTTTATAGCTTACCTAATTTTAAAAAATGTATTTTTTGAGTTTACAAAGAATCCCCGGGGTCGGGGCTACCTTGTAACGGTCATTTCCAAATAATTCTAAGATGGTCAGGCTTGGGGTTACTTTAACTCTTTTCTTTTTGCTCAAAAAAGGTATGTTCAGTTCTATATTTTTCATTTTAGGGAATAAGCTATTACCGTAGTACTCATGGTAAGACCTGGACCCGGGACTGATTTAATTTTTCGTTTAGAGGCCAAAAACACCATCCGTTCAAATTCTTATATATATATATATATATACATATGTGTCCGTTAGCGCGATAACTCGAGCAAAATTGATCCGATTTTGATGAAATTTGGTACAAACGTGTAAACCTATGTTTATTCGAACGAGTTCGCGAACGAGCATAATCGGACCTTGGGAACGGGGGTTTATGGGGAATTTTATGGGGTAAAAATGGGTTTTTCCCATTTTTCACCCTAAAAACAAAAATTTTTATAATTTCTTTTTAAACCGTTTTGTAGAGCTTAAAAAAAGGAATAATTTAGGATATTGAAGGGCTCTTATATGCCTAACGGTCACAGAGAAAATTCAAAAATAGTCTTAATTTAAAATTCCGATGTTATTCTTATGGAGAAAATGAAAATTGTTGTAGTTTACTTGTTTGTGGATATATATTGATAAAATTTGGCAAATTTATTTGCTTCATCCTATACTATTGACGTATGGTCAAAAAACACTTTTTACCTTCCCCGTAGCAGCTAACCTAAGCACTCGTTAAATCTAATGTTATTTAAATATAGGGAATAAATATGTCTTATTTCTGGAAATATTTTAGTAAAAATGTAATCAGACAAGTTAAAATTCGCTTAGTCTGCAGGTTTGCTGCGGCGGGGGTATTTTATATTTTTAATCGTTATTATGGACAACCTAATGCGGCTATGAGTAAGGCTATTTATAGAAAACACTATTACTTAGCAGTTGCTCGAATTCGTGCAACAGGTACACAAGTTGGGAATAAATATGTCTTATTTATGGAAATATTTTAATAAAAATGTATGAGACAAGTTGAAATTTGCTTAGTCTGCAGGTTTGCTGCGGCGGGGGTATTTTTATTTAATCTGTACAATGTTTTAATATTTGTTTCCTAAAGAATAGGAGTTAACCTTTATTTTAAGATATAAAACTTTTAAAACTAATACAAAGTATGGGGAATAGGCCTACTTATGATTTTTTTTAAGTTGGTTCAAAGTAGCCCCCACGTACAAAGTAGCCCCTTTTGACGGTATCATTTTTGTCAACAACGGAAGTAAAGGGCAGTCTGACCGAGTTACCTTGTTTATCTTCGAGTTATTATTCGTCTTATGTGACACGTTCAAAAACGTTGCGATTTTTCGTATTTTCTTCTATCCCCCTAACACATGTACATTATATAAAAAAACATTTGATTCCTCATATGTTAGGGACAGTTCTATGAATGGAATCGAATGTAGGGCCTACTAACTTATAACATGTTTATAACTTTTTGGCCTCAAAAATGCTATTGGCTGCAATTTATATTTACTAGGTACCGTAGCCTATAACATGTCTGAATTTGTTTCTACGTTAATGGTAATTTTCTAATATTTTGTATCATAAACGGGTAATACAAATGTTTTACTGTCTACAATATGACATATTTATATTCCTTAGTATATAACCTACAAGAATATATGTACCGGTACTAATCACTAATTACCTTATGTACATGAGTTATCTCCGAGTTAAGTACTAATTATTCGTCTTACATGACAAAAGTTGCAATTTTTCGTATTTTCTTACATAGCCTAACACATGTACAAAAAATAATTTTCCCCGTGTGTTAGACATTTCTATAGGGAATTGAATTTACTACAAAATGTAAATAACGGGTTGGTAATTCTGAGCAAATTACTGGGTCAACCCCAAACTTTTTCATATTTTACTACAGTTGTAAGGATGTTCTCAGAACACAAGAAACATATAATTCAAGCCCCGCAAGGTTAGGTTAGGTTATGAATTAACCTTATTCATTAGTTATATTATATTCAGGGTTATGAATTAACCCCGCAAGGTTAAAGGACCAAGGCAAGGGTTAAGGAACCCAACCTAACCTAACCTAACCTTGCGGGGCTTGAATTATATGTTTCTAACATAACGGTAGGCCTACTGTCACAACTGACCTTCCGCACGTCTCCCGCAAGCCTCTGTTATCGCGTGGACTTTGAACCGGTTCTTATCGCTCGGCAACCTGTACAATGGCCTTGCGGGACTTGAATTATATGTTTCTTGTTTTCTGCGATCATCCTTATGATCGTAGTAAAATATGAAAAAGTTTGGGGTTGACCAAGTAGGCTAATTGCTCAGAATTACCAACGGGTTTTTGGCTAAAAATATACCCTAGTAATAACAAGACTTTACTTTTGAAATTTCATTTAGAATTTTTTGATCCTTACAAAAAAGTCTGCAAAATCGCCAAAATGTGTTTGGCTATTCCCCCCTTCTAACATTGGCCACTACTAGGGTTAACTTACCTAGGCCTAGGTACAGTTTAGCTGCTCATGCCACTCTCAACAGTTCAGGTTTATAGGGCCTAGTCACTTTAGAAGAGCTTAACTTACGGTCAAAAAATAAGTTTTAGTCTAGTGAAGTGCATGAGACAAGAGACAGCCTAGTTTTACCTAATTAGGTGGCTGCACTTTACTTGACGTCCTACACTCATTCGATTGTTTTTTTTTTCGATTCGATATTTTCATTCGATATATCGTTTGGTTAGTTAGGCCTAGGTTAGGTTAACCTTACCTAACTAACCAAACGATATATCGAATGAAGCAATCGATTAATCGATATATCGATCGATATTTTCATTCGAATGAGTGTAGGACGTCAAGTAAAGTGCAGCCAATTAGGTTTAGCATTCATTTTTTAACAACTTAGGCGTTAGGCCTATAATTCATGATTTTATGACATAACTGTAGTCTAAATAAGGTATCCTAATCTATTCTAAATATTACCAAAACAGCTTTGTCGTGTTCAGTAACTTTCGAAACCTTCTTTTTACCAAATATATTACCCATGATCACAGTAGATCATAATATTTAATCAATGTATTAATATCAAGTAAATTTTTCTTGTTTGGAAATAGTCGATATTTTCAAGTAAACTAACATTAACTACCACTTGTATTCAGGAATAATAAACAAAATCATAAGGTAGATTCGGATTGATAGAAAGATACACTATTATTGAAGAAATGAGGTTATGTTGTTCCTTTTTACTGCTGAGTGCTGGCTGCTGACAGTGCTGGCTGACTGCTTGCTGAGCTGAGTAGTGAGTTTTGACTGTTTTGTTTGAGTTAGAGTTTGTTTTTGTTAGGCTAGTTGGTGTTGGTGGGCAGATTTTCCCATCCTTGTTAGTCAGTTTGTTGGTTTGTTGTGTTCGAAAAAGTGCCAAAAATGTCAATGTCAGACCCCTCGGGGGTCCAGTTTATGCTTGTTGCTTGTCGAGTTATTTCATGATCATTGATTATGAATTTTCTCAAGTTTTAAATTTATCACTAAGGGTTAGTCCACATATTACGTTACGCGTTTCATCATTTATTATACACCCCTACTTCCCTACATCTCAATAAATTACTGTATAGCTACGCGCGCACTACGGCGGCACGGCACGGATGGGCGGTACGGCACGGACGGCATTTTTAAGAGGGGGTGCGCGCACTAGGGCGGCACGGCACGGACGGACGGGACGGGACATCCGCACATTCGCAATTTAGGACAGTTGACCGTCTGCGAGCTAAAAATTGTGAGTAAAGATGGATGTAGATAAAGTGGTGATAGTAGGTTTAATTTTAGCAGAGGAAGAGGAGACAAGAAGGTGCAAGCAAAGATTTTAGATACACCACATAAACAGGAAAAGACTAAATTTTGGAGAGTTCCACACCTTGTTTCCTGATCTTGTAGAAGGATTATGTGTAAAACTTACCTGATTGTTTCATAATAGATCATATTTCTGCCCATATATTGTCACGCCGGACGTTATAAAAATATTCCGGATGTCGCATGTTGTACAGTTTCGGGTATTTCTCAACGAGAAAAATCAACTTAATAACATCTATGTTTACAACACACGAAAACACTTGAGAATGGCGGATGTTCCGTGCCGCCCGCCCGGTCGGTGTGCAGTGCTCCCGGTCGGTACGGGCGATACGGGCGTCACGGCAGCTCGGAAAATGTCCTGGAGTTCTGTGTCCCGGACTTTTTAACAAACGGCGGAAGCTGCCGAACGTCCGTTGCCGGCCGTACCGCCGTAGTGGGCGCACTCATATGACATTCAATGTTACTTTTCAAAATTGCCGTGCCGCCCGCCCGTCCGTGCCGTGCCGCCGTAGTGCGCGCGCAGCTTATTACGGTATAAGTGGTGTGGAGCTAATTTTTTTTTTAAAATTATCTGGCAAACCACAGGCAACAATTTTGCTTTAAAAACAGTCTCTCATAGGTAAAACCCACTGAGCTATAATTCTAACTAAACTGGAGGTAGCACTGAATGTCAAAGATGCGTGTCGCCAGCCGCCATGTTTGCGTGAGGTGGGTGTCCATAAGAAGCCATGTTATTGCTATGACAAAAAAACTCACTGCTATACAACCTAGTTATAAGAAGCCATGTTATTGCTATGGTAAGAAAACTTACTGCTATACCAACCTAACAAAATCAGCGACTCGCTTTTGACAGACTTCTGCCATGGCAGTGCTACCTCCAGTTATAATTTTAGCTCAGTGGTAAAACCATAGATGAAACATAATTGTTTTATCATAGATAAAACGATAAAACAGTGCCTTGGTAGATTTCCCATAATCCCATCCTTATGGAACAGCTGAAGCCAATTGTATTGTTAGTTCTGTCCGGTTTTCTGTAGATATCGTGTTTTGTTTACAATTTGTTTATATTATTTTAGGGTTAGTTTTCTCATTATTTGTGTCTCACTGTTTGGTTATATAGCTAGTTGAGTGGACGAGATATTGTTTATGATTAGATAGTTTAATTTGGTTAAACGATGTTTTAAATTACTGAAATAACAAGAAACAAATTGTAAACAAAACACTACATCTACAGAAAACCGGACAGAACTAACAATAAAATTGGCTTCGGCTGTTCCATAAGTATGGGAAATCTACTAAGGGACTAAATAATAGAGATCGATGGGACTAATATGTTTTATCCATGGTAAAACAAACTCCCTTAGTAGATTTCTCTACAGAGAAGTAATTCTCATCCTTATGGAACAGCTGAAGAGCTGAAGCCAATTTTGTGGTTAGTTCTGCCCGGTGCACTGTAGAGGACGTGTTTTCTTTAAAAAATTGTTTTTGTCTTTTCAGTTATTTAAAAACATGTTTAACCAAAAAAAACTATCTAATCATGAACAAAAACTCGTCTCCTAGTTATACAACAAAACAAAAAAGCACAATTAATGAAATTAACCCTCAAATAATAGAAACTAAATTTCGACGACACTATAGCGATCGGTGTCACAGGTCATGAACTAGACACAAAAAACTAGCTTCAAAATTTACAATGGGGTGAGGGTATTTACTCAGGGGAGGTATAGAAGAGGCTACGATGACAGCTGTGGGCTTCTTATTAGCTGAGGGAACGCCAAAACGATCAGTAGTCATCTGCCTCGGTGGTCTAATGGTTATCGTGCCGGGCTGACATGATGAAGATCCCGGGTTCAAATCCCGCTCGTGGTATTACTTTTTGTCCAAGATTTTTTTTATTATCAGCAAGTTTGGTTCGGTTATGACAGTTTAATTTTATTATTAAGTCATTATACAATTTTAGTAGAACAATTTCTAGTTTTATTTAATAAACAGAATTATTTTTTCTATTAATAAACTTTTGTTATATTATTTCATTATCAGCAAGTTTGGTTAGTTCGGTTAGGTTATGATAGTTTAATTTTATAATTAAAAAATAATAAAATTGAATTTGAGGCATTTATAATTTTATTTTATGAACAGAACGATTTTTGCGATTAGTAAACCTTCTTTGCCAAAGTACTCTCTACTACAGCGCTGTTCACGGAGGAATTTTGAACTAATGCCTCATTCGTACCTCCCCTAAGTCAGACCCTGGGGTGAGAAGACTACTGTTGTAGCATAGATTAAACATACTCCTCAATGGTTTAAATAATTAATAAATCCAAGATGTCTGACTGTTTGGGAATTCTATTGTAAATTCTTCAGAAAAACGTAGTTTAATAACAAATAATGAAGACGAACCCTATTTTAAATTTCTAGTTGCTAAAACGTGATATAAATCATAGTGCATCGGATATGTATAAACAACTTCAAGTAAATGTTTGGTGATACAAAACATGTTGTTATTGTTTTTACACGTTAGTTCATCGTTTGGCCACATTGGTATCGCCGCGATACAGCGCTGCAAACAGTGCATGCAGCGATACCGCGATACTATCGCTACGGTATCGCATTCGCCTCGGTATCGCGTATCGCGGTTCGCTCTGGTGTGTGCGGCTCCATAAGGCTCCATGGTATCGCACGGACCACTGGTATCGCAAGAGAATTTCCAAGAAAAAGTATCGCGCCCGCTCCAGTATCGCACGGAGTATCGCTCTGGTGTGTGCAGGGCTACACGCCAGGCTTCAAGTCAATCTCATTTAACCATCTTGCGATGGTAGAGGGGCTTGGCAATGCAAACCCATCGCTCCTCATCTGTTCATAGAGGGTCGGTGATTTGTATCTACAAATCAAATATTACAACTAGCTTAAGTCATAAGAAAATACAATAGCTTACAGGTGGAGTATTAATTACAAAATATAACTTAACCTTTATCTACAACAAATTGCATCTGTAAATAAAGTACATGTGTTTATATTTAAATACTGTACAGTCGGCTAATTTTGTTATTTGTTATCAGTCAGTTGAATCTGTTAACGTGATAGCAATTTTGTGTAACGTAAACGATAAATATGTTAAAGTATTCATCAGTAAAAGGTGAGTCAGTGGCTGGTAGTGGTAGACGGCAATTGTGGCCAACAACGAATAAGCGTGAACGGTCAGGTAGATTCCTAAAAATAGAACAGAGCAACACCGCAGCGAGTGTGTGCGTGCGTGTGTTTAGCGGCCCATCAAGACAATGTACACAAACACAAGGCACACATGTATTGTATGGTTAAACAAGATATTTTTACAGCAAACAACGTGAAAGTTTAATTCAATGTTACACACCCTGTTTATAAGACTTTTACAGTACTTTTTGTGGGGGGATGTTGATTTATTAAGTTCATTGAACATGTGAGTATTTCTCATTGAAGTAAACTATATTATAATATGTACAAATAATAATATAAATTAATTTTTACCTCATGGCCAAAGCTTGTTGCCTCTCCTCCTCGGACCATGGCAGTTTGTTTGCGCCAGCATGCTTTAGCTGCATGCATCGAATTTCGACACCTTATCTGGTAGCATATCCTTAATAGCATCCATAACATCGTCCTTAGTAAGAACCTTATCTTTATTTTTTAATCTGTTGAGCCTCTGTCGGTACATCTTATTTATTTTTTGCAAGGCTTTAACTTGTTTAGCCAGTTTACTTTTTCCTGGAGAAACACATTTTTTTGGTGTAGGCTGGCGCCCCTTAACACTTTTAAATTTTTTGTATAAAGGGGTCTGGGGAGTTTTTGGTGACGTTTGGTCGGCAAATAATTCTCTACGCGAGGAACTAGCGATAATCTCGTCTTCAATATGATGTTGACTTGTATTTGTGTCTGGGGTTTTCTCGACGTTGGCTTCAATCTGTCCATCGTGTACCGAGTCACATTCACATCGTGTACCGAGTCTGTTTGCACATTGTCGGAAGGCGTTTCTTCTATTAGAGACAGTAGTGTTGGCACGGCACATGCATGTAATCGGGTTTTCAGTGTATTCAAAAAGAGTCATCTTCGAAATGCAATTCACAAACCACTTTCTTATTTAGAGTTTTTTTTGTACAGGTATCTAATTTTTCATTAGCACAATTAGTGATCCACATCTCGCAAATAGATGGTCTTGCTACAGGGAAGGAATAAAATCTTAATTTTGGATGAGATGCCTTATTTCTTTCACAGCCGGTGAACGAACATCGGTTGCGACTACATTTCTTTACAGGAGTTGCCATTTTGCTAAAAAGGAAATGGAATTTATACATTAAAATGATTATCAAATTTTAAGATTGATAACACTGCCATATTATTTGTATTAAATTAACGTACAGTATTTATAAAGTTGTACACTCGAAAATTCATTTTGTGAAGTTAATTGAGGATGTTTGTAATTAGTTTGTTATATTATTTTATTAGCTTAACAAACTATCAAAGACTGGTTGCGTGGGTGGACGGGGTAGACTATGACTAGAGTTAAAGACTAGTAGTGGGCTGATTGCGTTTCGGAGGTGTGACCTTGAGGGCAGGACTACTAACATACAAGGGCTGGCCCAGTCCTTTGAAGTGAACGCGTGCCGCCTGATGCTGCCCCCCCCCTCGCCCCGCGCACCTCACCTTCAATTAATTAATTATCAATTATCAATTATCAATTATCAATTAATTATCAATTATCAATTATCAATTATCAATTATTTAAGATGGGGACACCACTATGTGCGTATTTTAACCCAAATATGAGTGAAGGATGAGTGTAGGATGAGTGGCGCGATCTTGTAGTCTTGTTAGTGACTAAGGCCGACATGTTCCTTAGACACAGCTGTTAATTAATAGCCCATACAGCTAATGGCAACTAAGGGACCTACAGTTTATTGTGGAATCCGAACCACATTTTTTTCCTCGTAATTAACGAATTGGTCTAATTATTTAGGATAGTACTGCGGATAGTCGTAGTACTCACTAGTGCGGACGTTAATCCACACCAGGTAGCATCGCATCCACAGTGCATCCCTATAATTATCCACAATTCGTGACCTCCTAGTAGCTGGATTACAGGACGACGCCACCCGTCCCAGTCTTCCACCGCTGTGACGTAGCAGTGGGAGATGCCGATAGACACTGCCATTGCAACACGTGCTTTTACGCTTGCAGTTATCTTCTATTTATAACGTTTTTACATAGAAATAGTATATTGTTTGGTTATGATATTATTTTACACGTAATAGTAGTTTCATATCATGTACTTTTAAAGAGTATTTTACACCATGGTGGGCTGCAGTGTTGCAATTCGTATGAACCGCTCTAATACAAAAAAAAATGTAGTGTATCAAGTTTTTCCAAAAAATCAAAGTTTGAGAAATGTGTGGGTACAGAAGTGTAAGAGAGCTGATGTTTTAGATCCCAAAAAATGGTAGTGTGCAGTGAAAATCTTTTTGGAAAGTGATTATTTAGACGATTCAAACCCCCGACTTCTCGGATAATACTAAAGGAAGGTGCCTAATTTAGAATATAAGTATATTAGAGTATAAGTATATTAGAGTATAAGTATATTATATAGGTAAATTATCACCTACCTTAGAATATAGGCGGGGGATTGTTTTAATGAAAGAAAAATAAGGCAAGTAAAATGAGGAATTAGAAAAACTGCTCTTGAAACATTAAAATCTCCTAGCAAAAAAAAGTAGCCCGCGTAAAACAATCAATACGCCAATTACTAGCCCAAATAACAGTCCTGTCAAACAAATGATTTAATAAACTTATTTTTAATTCATTCCTTTCTACATAACATCGCATTTGTTAGGAAAAGGTCGTCTTTTTATTGAGTTGTAAATCGTGTGTATACGTGAAGTTTACTAAAATTACGAAGAAATAACCTAACCATTATTGTTCCTGGTAATTAATTAAAAAATCCTGTAAACAATAGGTCTAAATGCAAATGTCTATAATAAAATGTTATTTGTGTTTTGTGTCAACTGTATGTGTGTTTTATTTACTTATTTCTTCAAAAGAAACTGATGTTAGTGTATTATAGAACTTGAATAACATTAACAATGTAATAAGTAATTGTAACATTTTTGCAGGTGATAAAAATGTAGCGAAAACAGTTTATTTCGCAGTAGTGTAGCGAAATCTGTACAAATCATGATATATTACCACCAACTAAAGGACTAAAAATCACTAGTCATAATATGTTTTTGTTTATAACTACTCAATGCCACCCAAATACAGTATAATCAGCTGATTGGTGTCCGGTAAAACTCATTACAGTACAGTAGTACGCAAGGAAACCCCATTTGATTAAGCTGGCGGCAAACAGCTGTTTTCTGGACCAATGCCGCGGCAAACAGCTGTTCTCTGGACTAATGCCGCGCCAAAATGCCACCAGTGGCGCTGCGGCGGGTCTAACACGAACTACCTCGCCATCAACTTGGCCGGGGAATCGAGCTCGACTCAACGGGGGGCCCTCATATATATGGGGATATATATGACTTATCTACTTGAGGAGTATGTTTAATCTATGGTTGTAGGGTATGCCATCTAGGTTAAAATTTCACCTGAGTAAAAAATGGCATACAATTAGTTTTGAAGTTATGTTACTGTTATGAAAAAGAGTTTATTTAAACTCTATATACAACAGATTAACGTTTACAAAAAAAGGTATTTTTTTTTAAATCAGCAATTAATTTATATCAACCACTTCTCATATGTTTTAAGGGGAAGGGGGCCTTCCACATACTGCGTAACTCATTTTTCGTCATTTTTAAACCTCTCCCTCCTCCCCTGTGAAACTGCATAACACAAGCCCCTCTCCTCCCTGTAAAGCTAGTACAGTAATAAAAAAAATAATCACCCCTGATTTTAATAAGACTAGCTGTTGGCCCGTCCTATATTTATGGCCTATTCACACTGGGCCACCATGGTGGCGACACCGGTGGTGACACCGGTGGTGACACCGGTGGTGACACCGGTGGTGACACTGGTGGCCGGTCAAAATGCGCATGGACCACCAGCTCAGCCACCAGAGCAGCTGTAGCCACAAACCTCACAGTTGGACGTCGAAGAGGCAGGCGCTTAAAGCGTATATATTTTTTTTTGAAATCATGAAAACATAAGAAAAACGTAGTTTGTTAGCGAATTTCCCATATAGGGAATAAGCTATTACCGTAGGTCTCATGGTAAGACCTAGACCCGGGACCGATTTACTTTTTCGTTTTGAGGTCCCCAGAGGCCATAAACACCATCCGTTCAAATTCATATATATATATATATATGTATATTTATTTATTTATATATGTGTCCGTTAGCACGATAACTCGAGCAAAATTGATCCGATTTTGATGAAATTTGGTACAAACGTGTAAACCTACATTTATTCGAACGAGTTCGCGAACCACCATAATCGGACCATGGGATCAGGGGTTTATGGGGGGTTTTATGGGGTAAAAATGGGTTTTTCTCATTTTTGACCCTAAAAACTTTAAATTTCTAAATTTCTCTCTAGACCATTTTGAAGAGCATAAAAAACAAATAATTTAGTATTTTGAAGTTTTTTTGAATGTTCATTGACTACGGAGAAAATTAAAAAAATTGTAAATTTAAAATTCCCATGTTATTCTTATGGAGAATAAATAAACTGTTCTAGTTTGCTTGTTTATGGATGTATTTTAAACAAATTTGGCAATTTGGCTTATTTCATACTAAGCTATCAATATTTCAATTGAAAAAACACACCTCAACATCTTCCCCGTAGCAGCAAACCTAACTACTCACTAAAATTAATGTTATTTAAATAGGAAATAAATCTGAAAATTTATAGGGAATATTTTAGTAGAAATCAAGCCGGGTAAATGGAAATTCGCTTAGTATGCAGGTTTGCTGCGACGGGGGTATTTTGTTCATCCGTTTTTATGAGATTTAAGTACTTTTTTCACTTTTTTCATTCACTACAAAGATCTTAGAAATAATCCTGACACGTTTCACACTTACTCAAGAATGAGTGTTTAAAGTTTTGATGAGCTTCTGGGACGTCTGAAAGATAAAATATCTCGAGAAGAGAAACTGCCACTAACGTTGTGAAAAATTAAATAAATAAATAGTTAATATACCATTTATTTATACACTGTAATACCTTGACTCAATGTATACATTGCAATTAATTACGAAAAGATGTAAATGAAATAGAGTACCTATACATTTTGTTGTAACATTAAAATCGTTTCCCCATATTTATTACCTTAACAACTTCAAAAGATTAGTAAATAAGTATACTGAGTAATGCCATGTAATGCCCACTGTTAGTGACTGGTGGCGCTGCCAGTCGCTCCAATGTGAACAGTCCGATAAGAAACCATTGTGCGACGTGGTGGTGCCACCAGACTGGTGTTTTTGAAAATCGCAACCCCGAGCCACCGCACTTCTGGTCGCGCGGCAAGACGCGCCACCAAAGCTCGGTGTGAAGATGTCCCATTTAAATCAATGCTAATGTAACGTAGCCACCATGGTGTCGCCACCGGTGTCACCACCATGGTGGCCCAGTGTGTAGGGGGCCTTACGGGAATCAAGTAGTCGATTAAACTAATAACATAACATAGCTACGATGGAGTTAGATTGACGGGTATCAAAGTTCAAAGTTGAGCACAAGATTATCTGGATTGTTTAGCTGACTTTTTTTTAGAAAAATATATTGATTTTTCAGAAAATATTTTGTACTTTGATATCCAACTCCATCGCTTTTTATAGATTAAATTTCTCTTTTGGACTTTATGGTTAGTTTATGTTTGGTTATTGATTGAATCGATACCTACTTTTATTTTTCGGTAATCCGATGGGGTCAGATATCAGAGTGTAGATCTTCTAAAACGTGTTATACGCTAAAAACTTGTTTTTCTTTACTTAATTGTCGTAATTTTAAGTCTAGGGAGATAGTTAGGGACATTTTTGGACATCTAGGGATTTCTAGGGACAAACTTTCCTTGATCTAGGGACTTTTCACCCAGACTCAGAGTTGGTGGCAACGTTGAACAAATCACAAAAACAGAACAAGAACAAGAGCAAAGCAAAGCAAAAAGCAACAGAATGAACAGCAACTGAGCAACAGAAGAAAGAAGGACAAGGAAGTACAGAAAAACAGAAACAGCAAACAGAACAGACGACAGACGTTCATACAGACTACAGACAGACTAACTAAATTATTAGTAATTACTTATAAGTAAACAAGGGCAGATGGTTCTAAGTTAGGCAAAATTACGTTAGTGGTTTAGTATTTGGAAAATAAATCTGATTGTGGTCTTTTGTTGTATTAGTACAAGTGAGTAAATAATATTCGAGAATAGGCTACCATTTTATAGAATCAGCTTTGCCCTTGCCCTTGTCTCGATCTAATTGTAATACTGAACTGAACTTTTTCTTTTACAAACGAACTAAGATGAGCGAAAATAGTAAGTTATAGCTTACAAGACTTTCCATTTATTTTTATTGTATTGCCTAACTTAAGTTACTAAAGCCTGATCCTAATTCTGGGCTTTAGGCTAGGCCTAGGCTCTAATCTGCTTTTAACTTGATAAGTTAGCATCCAACGCCAACTTGGTTAATGTTATTAAGGCCATTAATAGCTAAATGCCTTAAATGTGTGAAAGATTGTGTGTGTAATAAACCTATTCAGAACAGAATTTGGGTTTTGCCACAGAGATATCATCTGTAACTTAGGTGCGGCGATGTATTTTGGGGATTGGAGAGCATGAACATAAGATAAGTTATGGTTGTAAGGTAGGGCCTATAGAATAATAAGATACCTAGGCCTAGAAGATGGTGTGGATTAACGTCTGCACGGGTGAGTACTACGACTATCCTGATAATTAGACCAATTCGTAATTACCAAGGCAAAAATGTTGTTCGGATTCCACTATAAACTGCAGGTCCCTTAGTTGCCATTAGCTGTATGGGCTAGGCCTATTAATTAACAGCTGTGTCTAAGGAATGTCGACCTTAGTCACTAACAAGACTACAAGATCGCGCCACTCATCCTACACTCATCTCCATTCATACTTGGCTTAACCCTGGAACTGCCAATTAAATTTCTTCAAATGCCAACACTTTTTTCAGCAATTAACATACATTTTTTTAAAAATTCGTAAAAAATATTATTTGTATGACTTAAGTAATGTATTATACATCATTTTATTCAGAAAATAACAAGGAATACAATGGTAAAATTTATTTTGTAAAATAACAAAAAAAATTTTTACACCATATTTTTTTATACACAAATTTTATAAAAAAATCATTTCCGCATTTTATGTCTCATGTCCAATACACATCAGAAATGCCACAAGAATTCCAATATATACATTTTGTTGCAAATTTTATCTAGTTTTTAGAAATAAATTTTGTTTACTGAAAAAGTAGGTAATATATTATTCATAAAATTTGAGATTTTTCACATGATGTGCTCGGTGAAAATTCTGCGCGAACCAGACATATGGGAAACATATGTGTCTAGAATTATTATAAGTCATGAAATACAGCACTAGTCAGTCCTAATGTGCTACTAAACAATGTAATTCAACAAAAATCTAAACTAAACATAATTTGAAAAGCATACCTGCTAATTTTTGGACTATGTATCCACGGTAACGATAAACTCCAAGAAGATAAATGTTCACAAACAGTCACATAACAATAATAAACCAAAATTATAATTCACTTTCTTATTTGAAATAGCCTACTCAGGCATAAACACAAAAGTAATAAAGTAAAACATTCAAGATTTGATTGTCAATAGCAATATTTTTACAAGGAACTGCAAAAATTTGGCCGAAGGCAACTTGGCCAGAAGAGGGAGATTGTTGTTCCTGACTTTAGTCAGAGTCACTTTCATTTTCTGTGGCTGGTCTCTTTTTTTTTGACTTTAGTGGCCTGTAAAAGTGTTCCAACCTCCCAAAGCACTGTGGGTGAACACCAACATTACACCCAGGGCACCTCCAGCTGCTTTTTTTTCCGCAGACGGGACAGACTCTCCTTTGATTCGATGGAAACTGCACTAGATTGTGTTCCAAGGGATTTACTTGAACAGGTTCTGCAGGTGGTTGTTGCCTGACAAGTGTTTCAACAATATCCACCATGAATCTTTTCCTTGAAAGAGGGTGATCTGTGTTCCTGGAGTATAAAATGTAGGCGTTTAGCATGGCCATGTCCATTAGGTTGAAGAATATCTTTCGCCAATACTTGCGAGTTGGCCTGGTACATGAGTGATGATATATGGATTTATCTTTTTGATCCACACCCCCCATAGATAGATTATACTTGTGAATAACTAGGGGTTTCACAGCTTGTAGCCCACTGCGACTAACTATATTTCTATCCTCCGCATGGCAAGCAGTTGTTATAAGATAAACGGGTTTCCTCTTCTTTTTTTGCTTATAGCCGACGAGCAACACCTTTCCTTTCCTGAAATAAACAGTTTGACCTGCCTCATATTGTGTTCCTACCACTGCTCGGGATAAATCTTTAGACTTCTTGTTTACTGTACCAGTTAGATATGTGTCGTTGCGTAACAAAGCTTCGGCTAGGGGTAGCTTAGTGTAAAAGTTATCTGTAAAGACATGATGATGTTTCCCCAACAATCGAGTCTGATTCATCATCTCAAATATAACTTTTTGAGTGAATGGATTATCTCCATCACTCAAAAAGTCTTTACCACTATAAAGGGCAGTATGGAGCAAATAACCGGTAGCACTGTCACATATTTCAAATTTTTTAATTCCAAAGCGCGCATGTCTCTTGTTAGGCATATATTGTATAAATATTGTCCGATTCTTCATTCCTATCATACTTTCATCGATTGCTAGGTTCTGGGAAGGGACAAAATGTCTTTTGAAAGCATCATTCAAGTGATCTAGGAGTTTCCTTATTTTCTGCCAAGGATCATAACCCGGTTCTCCTTTAGCGATAAAAGGCTCTGAAGTGAGATGAAACATTGACGATATAGCCTGGAAACGGTTTCTTGACATAATTTCAGGGAAAAATGGAACTCTCTGGCTGAAAGATTGGTCCCAATAGTCAATAAGATTTTTTTCCAATTAGGCCCATATTTATCACCAGCGCTATATACTTCTTCATTTCACTGTATGTTACGTCAACCCAGTGTCGTAAGCGTGACTGTCCCCTCAATTCCCCCGACAATCTCCTTCGAGTTACTTCTCTGGATGCATATGCATTGGTTTCAGTTGTGAATAACATCCAGATTGCGTAGGGGAAAAACAAATTGAAGTAAGCAATTGGCTTGCTGTTGCGGGGTGGACAGTCTCTAATCCCAGTATTTCTCACAGTAAACTTAGTTTCTATATCCTCCCCTTCAGGTTCTGGGGGGTAGACCCTTGTCCAAATAGGCCTAGTAATATTTGGAATTGGGGGTATTCCTAGCCTAGCTGCTGCATCCCCTCCAGGACCAGGAGGTGGAGCAGGTGGGCCCAAACCTACGGTTGGTACATCTAGGCCTACGTCTAAATCTGTTACTTCTCTTTGACTGGTATCTAATTCACTGCTATGTGGGACATAGTCATCTTCTGATCCAGAGGAGAAGTCTGTAACACTATGTTCAGGTGTCAAACCATAAATGTCTACATCAAGATCTGATTCATCACCTGTCTCATCACAAGGCTGACTTACTGATGGGCTTGCCCCTAGGCCTACCGGCACCACGACTGATTCTTCTGATTCCACTGGCTCAACTTCAGAATCAATATTATCATTAGTTTCACTAAGATCGTTCATCAATAATTCACGTAAATCACTGGATCGTCCTGCATAATTTTCCATTGTAAAAATATCAAGTTTGTAATCCAACAAAACAAACTAACCCCCACACATAATGTCACTTCAAAGTCCACTTTGTTCGCTAAATATTCACAAATAACAATGGAAACTACTAAAACACTCTTTGAATATAACTAGGTAAACGAGTTTATCAATAAGTACAAACAACTTTTTGATCCGAAAAACACGCAAAAACAACGAAATAAATACGAGATAACCGACCGTGTTTACAGACGACATCACTACTGCATAGAAACAACAAACACTTTTATCAACATATGTTAGCAGGCCCGCCAATACAATAAAACGTAAAAACTGTCATATTAGCAGGCAGCCAACCTCTTTGGCTTTACATTGATGCATAAAATACTTCGTTCCGATGAGTAGAAGCTTATATATATGAAAAATACTGGATCGGTCATTTTGTGACCGATGGCACTACGGAACGGACCCTGTCGGTCATAAAATGACCGATCGGCAGTTCCAGGGTTAAAATACCTATTTTGTATGGTCGCCATTTCAAAGAACAATATTAACAGTAACTTACATTTCAGTAATCGATTCATTCAATCGAAAAAATAGCCTAGATTTTGGTCTTAAATATTTTTTATCATTTATAGAGTGTTAGGCCTAAGCTAGGCTGTCAAACTTGGCCTACAGTCTCATAGGCCTACTATGTCACATTTTGTGACACTCAGCCAGAAATTGTGACAGTTAAACAAGCAGTGGCGATGATTAGAACCTGCAAGCCCCCCGCCAACATCTCGAGCTTGTAGGCCAGGCTCAGCCAGGCCCGTATTTGGAATCGATGTGGCCCCCGGCGGGTCACACTAGAGAGGCTCTTCTAACGACGCAGATACTAACTTAAATTAGATGAAGAATTAGTTAGACAACGATTGAACAAACACGAATCAAAATTAAAAGTATTTCAAGAGAATGACCACGTCTGGGTGTTAAATACGTCCGGATCAGGATTCAAGCGAGGCAAGATAATGAAAGTAAATGGAGCCTATTCATATCTTGTAAACGTCGATGGTATGAACCGGGGATGTCATGCAGATCATTTGCGAACGGCAGTCAGCTCTTAGAAGAAGGGGAGATGTGTAGTGTACCAGCTGGTATTATCGTCACATGTTTTAAGATGAATTAATTGTCGATATGTTTACAGTTCAGTTGTTTGTTTACTCACATAGAATACACATCATGTTTTCAAAATATGTATAATTAGTTATTCTATTAATATAATAAACCACAACTCTACAGTGGCGCAGTCGAAAAATATTGATTTTAAGTTAAGTGTAGCTCATTTGACGGGATGACCAAAGATTGGGTTTACTGGTATGAACGATTGAAGATCAGATTAAGGAACCAAAATGTCAAGAATGAAGACAAGAAACAAAGACATTTTACTAGGACACTTAGGCCCACAACCTTTCAAAATTGTATTCGACTCGGTGCATCCTAGACCCGTAAGTAATATTGGATTCAATGACGCTGTAGCAATCTTAGATAAATACTACACCAAACAAACCGCTCCTCTTTCACAAAGAGTCAGCTTTTCAAGTAGATTCAGACACGATGGTGAATCTGTAAACCAGTTTGAACTAGCCTTAAGGTCTCTAGCCGGACACTGTGCTTTTGGTGATGGTCTGGACGAACGCTTAAGGGATCAGTTCATCCTTGGAATTAACAATGATAAATGGCAGTTTGAACTTCACGCTTGACTTCACGCATCTACAAACACGTCTTTTTCTAGCGTAGTCGAGTCGGCAGACGTTACTTAAAAATGTGGACACTCAACAACAGGAAATGCGCAGCATAAAAATTAACAGAGTAAAATCCACAACACACGAGACAAATCGACACATCCACACAAGACAAGACAAATCAGACTCAAAACAAATAAATACTAGAAACAGCCCTATTCTTAAACTCAACAAGGGAATACACTGTTTTAAATGCGGTAACAAGAGACATGCAAATCACGAGGATTGCCCTGCTATGGGTGCTGTTTGTAAAGCTTGTAATGGTAATAATCATTTTTCTCGTGCATGTTTGAAGGCAGGAAATGCGGTTGTTGAAAATTCTTTGGATGAGGATAACGCTCCGTATTCAGACATTGACCAAATACGAATTTTGGAAAAGGGTTCCAAAGTAATGATCAATGTTGAAATGAACAAACGTAAGGTAAAAATGCTTTACAATCCAGGGGCAGCTTACAGCATTATTGGAGAAAAACTGTGGAAATCGATTGGATCACCAACACTTTACCCCTGTGAAAATCTTACTGCCTACACGGGGGTACAAATTGAAACACTAGGCGAAACATCGGTGCATTTTCCTTACGCAAAGCTGTGGAAGACGAACTGCAGCGGTTAGTTGAAAACCAAGTCTTGACGCCAGTGAATACGAGTGAGGAGCCTGTTACTTTGTCTTCACCTATAGTGATTGTTGTAAAACCTTCTGGAGCAATACGCATATGTGCTGACTTTAAAAACACGATCAACAAGTATATGATTTCAGACAACTACCCTATGCCCAGATTTGAAGAAATTACAGCGAAACTTACTGGAGGACAAGAGTTCACAGTCATCGATCTCAAGGATGCTTACTTACAGATGGAAGTTGACACTTGCTTACAAAAATATTTAACTATTTCCACACACAAAGGGTTTTTCAGATATTCCTGTCTTCCTTTTGGGATTAAAATCGCTTCAGGGGCATTTCAGTGTAAAATGGATCAAGTACTGGCGGACTTGGAAGGAGTTGCATGTCTTCTCGATGATGTAATAATCACAGCTCCCACATGAGAGGAACACATATGTCGTGTTAGAGAGGTGCTAAAACGTTTTACAGATATGGGTATCCGCGCACAAATGTCAAAATGCAGATGGTTACAGGATTCAGTCAAATACTTGGGTCACATGATAGACAAAACTGGCATACATGCCACAAACGCGACAACCGAGAGGTAAGTCAGCTAAAGAAGATGAAGATGTTTTATACGGCCCCTACCATATATCAGCCCTCAAGAAATATTTGGAACCAATCCGAGCAATAGAAGCTGTGATTGACGAGATAGATAATGATGACCCTATCTTCGAAGACATCGTATATCAATAAATTTCATAATGTGTTTCATCCATCAATAGACTTTTGTGCATCATCATCTCTAACCAAATTGTGCCATGGACCTTAATCGCGAGTGCGTGACCCCTTAAATTGTGTTTTCCATAAACTAATACCCAGGTGATAAAGTTATAAACAATACGCACTAACAAGTAACTGTGATCTTCTTAATAACAAAGAAACAATTAAGTTATTTGATATTGAACAGTATGAAACTACGGCCATAATATCCCTTTCTTCCCATGCCAGGCCATGAACACTCTATTCTATTATCTATCCCCATTTTAATGTTATTGTCCTACACATTTGTTACTGTAGATTATAATTTTGTTGTATTATCACCCAATGTTCTATCATCCAGGAAATCAATCATTTAATGTTATTCATACTTATCTTTAAGTATCATTCATATTCATGATTCATGATTCCATTTCATATTTTGTTGAAATCTGTATTTTATTTCATAGCATACAGATTTCTGTGGGGATAATTTGTAGGCCTAATATTACATGTCATCCATTCATCATTAACATTAATTTCTCTATTATTTTGTATATTTTCTCCCATAATGTTTGTTAATGCCCCTGATAATGTGTTATCAGTTATTTAATATGTTTCTCCTTTTTAATGTATTATTTTCTCCAATTTTGTTCAATTTATCTATATATATAATACGCTAAACCGATTTTTGTGAACAGAACTCCTCCCTCATTTTTGGACCAATTTTGATGGTTAAAGTGTCAAAATAATTGCCCTGGTCTGTAGTTTTGCAAAGTGTTTTTAGTTTTTTGATATCTTTATTAGTTTGGACAGGATCTTCCATCAAAGTTGGGTTTTCTCCCATAAGATTAACATGGGGGAAAAAAGGTAACATAAACCATTTTTATATTGCAATTTAAGATCCAGAGGCTTACCTACCATGAAATTGCACACTAAACTTTGTCCCCAAGGCAAGCCTAGCACTTTTCGGACAAAATAAGTAAATAACTTTAGCATTTTTTGCAAAATTACAAAAAAGTATTCTAGCAACGAAAGGGCTAGACGGACCCCGATATCTCAAAACTGAAAGGGGGACGGGTAAAAATTTGAGACACAGAGGTTTTGCATGATGACAATTAACCTATGTTAGTTACGACCTTCATCAAGCCTGCGGTTTGCATGTAATGCACTATAAGCCCAAGAGATAATTGCGCCCCTCTCCATCTACCTACCTTTTGGAGAATTATCTATTCCTTCGACCCCAACAAACTTTTATTAAAGTGACCATGACCTTAATAATTCGACTTTTACAAACTAAACCTTTACAACTAGAAAAAGGCTTAAGACCTTTGCATTAAGAATAAGTTCCAAAAGGGTCTTATGGCCAGTTACATATAATTCTACTTATCCAATGTAGTATATTATCAGATACCCTATTTATTTAATGCTTCGATTATTGGGTGTGTTGGTTCAAAAAATAACAAGTAAACGGACCACAGTAAATAAGAATCATGAATGCTGCTTACACATAGTCAACTACGATATTACTATTTACTAATGATTTTCCCGTTGGTCCCCAGGTACTATAAAATAAAGAGGGTGTTGACGTTGACATCAATCATCATTACAAAATGTATGTTTAGTTAGTTACATTTTATTTAACCTTTTATAAGTTTTATTTATTTTTTAGGAAAAGATAGCAAAAACGACCAAGGAAGTGGATTTGGCCTTGGAGCGTAAGTTGAAATTCCTAAATGTTTCTGTTAACATATATACAAAGTAAACATATTAGATACCTTGAATACAAGTTAGTACAAATTCTGTGAACAATTAATCACAAAAGTAAAGTATAGGTAATAATTAATTAGAAAAAACTTGAATCCAGGCATCTTCCATGAAAGAATCGCCATGATGTTCCAACTGGAATGTTGAAGACAGAAAGTCAGTTCTGCAATGTCCTAAACAATATTATGACTGTTTCACAATTTCTGTGAATATTATCACTATACAAAATAAACTAATCGCGCTCTTTAAAAAAAAGTTCTATATTTCGGCATTAGCCTTCTTCAGGAACAAACAAACAAATAGAAGTGTTTACCACTCTGTATCAGATGGTTTAGCAAAAATCCAAAATACATATAATTTATAAAGAAGTAAAAAATAAAATTTTGATAGAAAGAAAGGAAGAAAATATGTTTTGCATACTATCTAAAATATAGACCAGATGGTGTTTTAGATTTTAGTATTAGTTGATGAGCCTGCTCAAGCTGTCTTAATTTTAAGTCCGATGCGTCTTTTGCCAATTTTCTTATTCCTTTTAATGAATAACACTGTTGAAAATTTTGAGAATTCTCTCTCGCATGAATAGCCACAGGTATTTGTATATCAGGATGGTTTACATCATATCTGTGGCCATTCATACAAACTCTAAGAGCATTTGTGGTTTTACCAATGTAGTCTTTAGTCAATATTATCAAGTAGGCCTACTAACAATTGTCACTTTGTAAAATCAGTATAAGAGACATACTCTTTTGGTTTTAGAGATCATACATCCACAGACCAGAACCTTTCATTAGATGCCTCTACTATGTTTCTACGCCCAGCCGTTCTCTCAATTTAGTGGAGACAGACTAAAACGACTTTCCAAATTCCAATCAGACGTATAGATCTAATGATTTTTGATGACTGTTTTTTTAAAACTCTGTTTTTCAAAAGAAGTTCTATTAGAACAGGTGTTCAGTTTCGTCTTTTGTATCTCGGTAACTACATTATCCTGAAATGCTTCTCTCTATTAGAAGATCTCATTAAGCTGATCATTACAGCTGTCCATTCCCATAAAATCCATTAATTTTGGATTCAATTTCATAATACTTGTGGAAACTACGTATTAGTTCTAGCAAGTAACAATCTACTTTATTCTTGTAAGTTGCCATTCCGTTATAACATGAGTGCCAACTTAATTTACATACTTTTGTTCAATGTCTATAAAAAAAAATCATTGAATTGTAAAATCTACTGAAAACAAACATTATTTCAAACCAATATGACATCTTGCTTTTTGCTTGTTTGCAAAATGTAGAAAATATTTGTTTTATCATTAATTCAATGGACCTACGTTGCATGCTTAGCAATTCCCATTTAACAATAAGTGTACTTGAAATCAAATTTATTATCGATAGATAAAAATGATGTATTTCATTTTAAACAACTAACTACGTTGTTGCAGGGCAGTGTTGTTGGGGGTAGGAGCTGCAGCTGCAGGGTTTTTGGCTGGCAACTTTTTCAAAAATGCTCAACAGTCCACTGCGGGGCCCAGCAGACAATCTAGTTCTCCAGCCGGTTGGGAGGATAAAAATGAGAACCTTAGAGCAAGGAAGAAGCAAAGAAGCTTGTTTAAAGAGAGTAATAACATTCCTGATGAGTTGAAATGTGTTGTGTGTCTCGACAACCCCCGAGAAATCTGTTTACTTCCTTGTGGCCATGTTTGTCTGTGTGAGGACTGCTCTGACCAGATCAAGGAACACTGCCCCATGTGCCAACAAGTGATACAAAACAAGAAAGCCATCTATATCTAGATTTGCAGATCTAACAATGTTTGATCGGGCCAAAGTTGACAATGGCCTGTATATAATGTAAAATAAACTAGAATCACTCCCAAATAAAGTGTGTTTTTAATATTTAAAATAATTAACAAGTTGAATTATATTGACATTTTGGATTTCCATGAATAGCACCTTGTTCTATTTATTTACACTTTTACAACAGGGTGTCTCATTATATTATAGGCTGTTTATTTGTTAATTATTTGTTGATATTTGTTATCTATAACAAATAAATAGAGAGATTTTGAAATTTTGTGTTATGGTATACACTTGCAAACCCCTTTTCAACTAGAATTGATATATTGTTGACTATATTATAGTATCAGTGATGATTTTAAAATGGCTAAATTAACAAGCAATCTGTAATAGTATATTACATTTCTAGTCCTGAAAATAGTTGTTAACCGGATCAGTGTGGTCGTCCCCATGTGAGACGAAGTTGATTACTATACGAGTCCGGTAAACATATTTTGAATGAGTGACATACGATATTTTATGCCATACTACTCTAAGCTAACTTAACCATAAAAAATCTGCACAAATCCTTATGTATTATCCCACTGACTAAAGGACTAACAATCACTACTCATAACTAGAGGTTGTTTTTGTTTATAACCACTCATTGCCAAATATAATCAGCTGGTTGGAGTCTGGTAAAAACTAGTCCGATTAACATGGCGGCAAACAGCTGTTTTCTGAACTAAATCCATGCGTGGGAAGTTTATTAAAACAGTGTAGTGTCAGTGGAATGTAATAGTAGTTTACGCAACGATTGCGTTAAGTGAGTCTTTACGACACGAGTAGAAAATTTAAGGCACTCGCCAAGGCTCGTGCCTTAAAAACTTCTACGAGTGTCGTAAAGACTATTAACGCGAGTTGCGTACACTACTTTACCTACGACCGTTTTTTAATTACTATCAATCTGGATTTAATTACTAACAATCACTACTGATAACTTTTTAGAGAGGTTATGTTTTCGTGTATTGTCATTGCCACTGAAAGTGATGCAACGACTTGTTGTATAATCAGCTGATTTCCTGAAATTACGTGTTTGTTAAACTTCGTTAAATATTACATTGCTAGCAGCATTCTTACCATAAATAATATTGTATCAGGTACAATTCGGCAAATATTTCATTTATTTTTGGACTTCCACCAACTTAATTAAGAATACGCGAGTATCAACATGAACAAGTCGGATCAACAATTAAATTGGTCAACTGATCAGCTGATCAGCTGATTAGTTGACGTTGACGTTCGAAGCATTACAATTTTAATTCTTTTCTCTCAATACTTGAACCTCATTGGTTCGTTACCTGTGTGGATATGAGAAAACTATGCGGATATGAAAGTAAACAGCTGTAAAGTGAAACTTTTCAATTCTAAGAACTGGACTGAAACTTCAACCAGGACGTGATTGAGCCATGCGAACGAGCTCATCTTGAAAATGAACGAGCTTTTGACATAAAACCACATTAGGACAGGACGACGTCTGTCGGGCCAGCTAGTAAGAAATACATTGGGATTTTGATGGCCATTGGAGCAAATCCTGAGGTTTTTTATTACAGGAATTGGTGAAAAGGGGCGTCTACACAAAAAATACTTAATTTTGACACTTCATTTTTAAAAATGCGTCCATTATTAACGGAGGAGTAGTGTTTCTTAGAAATCACTTTCACATATTATATAAGGATTAAATATAAAAAAGAAACTATGCATTTTAGCACAAAATACGTCCTATACAAAAATAATCTACACAAAATTCTAAACAAGAATGAAATTTACAATCTTGTGTAGATTATTTTTGTACAGGATGTATTTTGCGCTAAAAACGTGTTGTACCAAGGCGTATGAAAGAAGGTGTGTGCATAGTGACGTCGGTGCGAGCAAAACGTGTTTTATTTTACCAAATCATATGTTTTCTTGTAATTTCCAAAGACTTTCGAATGGCAGTCATTACGAATTAGCATTGAAAATATAACACACTATTTAGCGTTTTATATAAAATAAAGTGTTGTATTCAGTATTGAATATAGTCATAGTGTTATACAGGATATCCAATGGTGGCAGTAAATACTGTAACTGTGGCTGCCTAACAGGCAATATATTTTTAGGTGACCATACAAATAGTTTTAACATAATACCTTTTTTTCAGCTCCTACTTTTGTTTTATATAATTGAGAAACCCTCATTTAAGTAGCCTTAGTGGAAAATAAATAGTTACAAATAAATTGACAAAATTGTATTTACATATATTTAACAAAACAGCACAAAACTACATAATAATAATTGCAGTCACGTTATGCGTGTCTTACACAATCGCGGCAGCATCCGCGATTATCTCAGAATCCATGACAATATTTGTGATTGCGGCCATATCTCAATCGCGGCAACAGCCGTGATGATTTCTTGTGATTGCGGTGACGTCCTGTATTCGCGATGGTTTGCTGCGGTCGCGATTTTGCACTTTGCAAAACGAGAGAGGCCATTCGGTAAGCGTCTAGGAAATTTTTTAAATTATTAAGAAAAATCATAGTTCGAGGGGCTTCCCTACGGGTTTAGTAGTTTAGCACTTGGGTATGTCACTAAAGTGTAATAAAGTTTCTACAACTTAAGCTATATATTTCGTTTTGTGTTGTTTTTGTTAAATATACATCAATACAATCTTGTCAATTTATTTGTAACTATTTATTTTTGACTAAGGGTACTTAAATGAGAGTTTTTCAATTATATAAAACATAAGTAGAAGCTGCAAAAAAGGTATTATATTGAAAACTATTTGTATATGGTCACTTAAAAATATATTGTCTGTTTGGCAGCCACAGTTACAGTATTTACCGCTTTACTTTTTTTCGATTAAAAGGTACTCAATATCAAAATGTTATATACCACCACCATTGAATATACTCTATAACACTATGACTATTCAATATTGAATACAACACTATATATATCGGATATAAAACGCTAAATAGTGTTATATATTCAATGCTAATTCGTAATGATATTCATTCGAAAGTCTTTGGAAAATTATAAGAAAACATATGATTTGGTAAAATAAAACACGTTTTGCTCGCACTGACGTCACTATGCAGACACCTTCTTTTATACGCCTTGGTGTTGTACAGTGTCTGAAAAATTGAAAGACTATTATATGCTTTATAGTAACTGTAGGAAAAATATTATGTGTAACGCAAGTGCAAACTACCTTTGCTGCACTCGAGAAACTTTCCACACTCGCCTCCAGCTCGTGCGTAAACATTCCTCTTGTGTGCAGCAAAGTGCCACTCCGCCCACTAGTTACACAAATAACTATAGAAAACAAAATTTTGTGACCCAAGTATGTTATCTTCTTTCTAAATATAAATTACTGATAAATTAATCTTTAGTTGGCATTTTTTGTTATCATTTGTTTGTTTAGCATTATTTGATTTTAGATTTTCTCAATTTGTATTGCTTGAATTTATTAACCGCTTATACATCAAAGTTATACAATTGATTTATTTTACATTTCCAGAAACATTGTTTTTATCAAATAAATACTTAACACAATATTTAGAGAGGTTTTGGGACCATTTTATTAAAAAGATATGAGGAATTTTAACATTGAGATCAATAGTAGCTCTGTGATTTAAAATATGGCTATAGGTAAGATGAACAATGTCATAATAAAAATATTTTTATTTCCAGTTTGTTAGGTGTATCTCAAAATAGACTTTCTAAATAAATTAAAATCGTTCACAGACCTAAAGTACATAAATTATCACATACAACTATTTCAATAGACTAATTTGGCAAATTAGACTTAACCTAATGCAAAGTCTACAATATAAAAATAACATTAGCTCGCCATGTAAAATGAACTATACTAGCAAACAGGCACTTACATAACACTATACAGACTATTTAAAACACTATGTACAAAAAGCTGCTCGAGAAAGGCGGTTTGTATAAAGGCAAAAATATTAGATCTCAATAAAATCTATATAATAAATAACTCTTACAAAATTTGTACAATTTGTAACTCGTACAATTTTACAATCCAAATTTACAGAAATACAACGAATCTACTAAGAATGAGATCTCAATATGCAGTGACTAGGTCTATTTTTTTATCAACGACCGTACTTTATTCACACAACGGTCCATGAAGTTGCGCTTTCGCTTGAGTGTGGAGTCGCTGCCGGATGTGATGGAGTCGGATATAGTGTCAAGTTGATCGTTGAGACTCATTGACCGCTCCATGGGCGTAGACTGCAACAGAGCGTCGGAGCTGTGAGTGCGTGACGGTGGCAGTGGGGTCTCTGGAGGAGATGTCACAGTCGCAGTGTTACTGGCATCCAACAGACCTTCCACACTGTGTGTGCGCGATGGTGGTGATGTCAACTTGCGGCGACGTGCTCGTGCTGACGAGATTGGACTGGTTGGCGGCCGCCAGGCGGGCGTCAATGGACTGGACGACTTGCGTCGCCTGCAACAAAATAACAATGTTTTGATTGCCATTAATATTTAGTAAATGTTTATAAACTCACAGATTGAAAATTAAATTCCAGTTGATTTAGATGTTTAGTATCAACAAATCCTTGGAGTAAAGAAACTATCCAAAGTAACATTCCACATAACCCTTGAGCAGGCATTATCGATTGGCGAGTCTTTGGTGGAACCAAAAAGAGTATTGGTATTGGACGCAATACATGCTGAAAACACCATCTCTGGGGCATCAAACTTTGAAAGTTGTGTGATGCCACAATCCATTATTGTGAGGTGTTTTCCTTTACTAAGGTCTGATGGCCCATTAGTAAGTAAGTAAGGTGTAATGTATCAAGACTAAAAACAATGAACCGAGGCAACCTGGGCAATCATTTAACGTTGTAAAAACATTGCTTAAGAGTACCAGACAGATAGTGAATAACCTAGAACAAATTAGTTCAAAGGTAAACACACTTCTGGGATGTGTTTGGGACACACCCCTTAACATTTCCTGGGAATTCCCAAAAAATCCCACTTCAGCAAAATCCGCCATCTTGGAAAATGGTGGCGAAACAAATAAACTTGGAAGGTTTTTTGGAAAATGCAATAACTTCAAATTTATTTGACTTATAATAGTCGTATGAAGCTGAGACTACACTAAAGAAAGTTTACTTCATGAAAATACCATATTCATTAGTATTTCATAGTATAAATATATTGTAATGGTAGCTTTAAATATGATTTTTATAATGTAAAATGTGTAAGGTTTATGTTTTTTAGATGTTACGCCATTAATACTTAAAATAGGTAAATATTACCCATTTAGTAAAATGTAGAGCTTTAAATTTCAAACACTATACATATGACTTATGTAATATTAAGCCAACAATTACGCCAATAATAAGAGTTTGAATGCACCAGTATGCACAGCGCGTAGTGCCGTGGCGGCTCGGCGCCGCGGCCGACCTACAACAATCAATCCTCTAACCACTGCCAAATTAGTAGTCAAATATACGTTGGATGATGTGTAATTTTATATAACAATTAATTTAACTAAGAACGAAAATATTTTATCACAATCCCTAATACTTCTTACGATAAATGCTAAGTTTATTAGCTTTTCATAAGTAGGAAACAATTAATTATTATTTTATGGTTTTAAAAGACTAAGTTAAGTGATGGCAATTTTACCTTATTACTTGGAATTTTGCAGACATTTACCATTACTTTGTTTTTACTATTCGGTTTTGGCAAATGTCTGCAAAAATCTTGCTATAATAATAGTAACTTAATGGATAATAAGATATTTTATATTTACCTGTAGGCTAATTGATATATTGTTGACAAAGGATTGAGATTTTATTTACATATTTACAATTAAACAGGGTAATTTTGTTTGATCTCTTTATTGTTAAACTGTGTTTTGCCGTTAAAAACAGTATGTATCACTTAAAGTCTAACTGTCCCAAAATCCTGCAATAATAACTGTACCAATCCTAGCATGAGAATAAATGTTCTTTACTTTCTAATTTGGTTGAATTTTGGATTAATAAAAAAAATCTATTCAATAATGTAAATGTGAATTTAACATCAAATTACGTAAGTTGTAAGAATAATCCATGTTAAATCTATTAACCTTTGATACAATAATTACTTCATGGGGAATAATGTGAATTTTATACAATAATGCGTTTAAAAACAATATACCATAGAGCATATTACCAGATAAGACCGGCACGCATCACTGGCTGTGTATTTTAACCGGAATATGAACGAAAGATGATTGTGGCATTGATTATCTGATATGTGATTGTTGTAATACACAAAAACATGCACGAAAACGAGCTTCATAATTTACAATTTACTTTTTGTAGGCTTGATTGGACTGTTCAATTGTAGTCTGTATATATTTTTGATAACAAAATGCAAAATCTCAGTTGTCTGATTTGAGTTATAGAGTTTTAAAAAGTCATAAAGAAATAATATACGTTTTAAATGGTGAGTTGGGAAAATCTGAAAAAATTGTTGATATTCATAATTAGGCTAGACTTCTATGGTAATTTACTCATTAGGACTTTTTTACTTATTAGGATTCGATGGAATCGGAATCGGGAATCGATTTGCAAGAATTGGTATCGGAATAAAAATAAGAGGAATCTACCCATCCCTAGCAAAAACGGGTGTAGGTACTTGACCGAGGCTGTAATCCTCTTAATTTACAGTCTGTTGACCTGTCGAGTTTTAGGGTGGTGTCGAACTGATCATGCTGATTTGTTCGCGGCAAATTGTTGGCTCTATCACTGTGGCTGTCAAAACTCAAAACGTATTGTTTGTAGGCTAAATTTTAATTAAATTTAATTTAACTATCATAACCTAACCGAACTGACCAAACTTGCTGATGATGAAAAATCAAATTAAGGTTTACTAATAAAAAAAATAGTTCTGTTCATAAAATAAAATTACAAATGTCTAAAATTCAATTTTTAGGAATTTTTTTGTATTATAAAATTAAATTATCATAACCTAACCAAACCAACCAAACTTGCTGATAGTGAAAAAATCGAAAAAAGGTTTCCTTATCGAAAATAGTTCTGATCATAAAACTATAAATTCTAACAAAAAATGTACAGTTAAGAAGTAATCGCATTCTAAGCGAAATCTTTGACAAAAAGTTAACGCCTCCGATGGGATTCAACATTTTTGATTCCCCACCCCTCCTCCGGTGACCACTACCCTCAGGCCATAAATCAGGGGGTTAGGGTGGTTACTGCATCAGTAATTTTAAATTCCCTGACCAATATATAATTTTCCCTGACCAAAAATACAGGTGATTTGCGTTAAATTAATGTTCTTACTTAGATATAATAACTAAATAACACATAAAAATTACTGACTTCAAGCTATTGGCGTTTTCCAGCTTTTTCTTTTGTGTTTAGTAGTACACGCACAAGCCACGAACTAAACTCAACTTCGTTTAGCCAATTCTCTTGAAAAACTGTCAGTTTTGACATTGTTAATATTAGGACGAAACGATTAATTAATAATGTAAACTAATACGACACTCAAAACCAAATCATACTGAAAAAAACAATCGAACAATAACACTAATATTGCGCAATACCGGTAAGTAATGGCCGACCAAGACTAACCAACCGCTTTTCGTGTCGTCAACGTCCGATACGAACTCCCACTTTCCATAAAAATGGAATCGCCCAGCCTTAGTAATTACATTCTATATGGTACTTGAATTTAAAAAAAAATTTAAATTTGAAAAAAAAATGTACGCCAAAAAGGAAAACAACGCGAACAGCGCTGGTCGAATGTTTTTAGAAAGCGTTGTCCGACCAATGCCACAGAAACTATGGCTGCGGTGGGAGTTGGTGCAGCTCCCCCCCTGCACACACCGCTGGCAAACAAGTCATTTACAAGTCGCTTACAGTATTGTTAATATGGAAATATATCAACAAAAGATAATAATTCAAACCATCACTTAGAGAGTAATTTATTATATAGTTAAATCTTTATTAAGACTAATAAAACAAGCATCCTACTTTTATCTTTGCCTTTAATATTACACATTGGTGTGTCAAATAAGACAAAACATAAATAGAATATAGGCCTATATCTTTGATATACGGTATTGTTGGATTTTATCAATACAAAATGGTGAAAATAGTAATATACCTGGCGGGCCCTTCTAGTCAATCTCGGTTGCCGTTGACATCTTTGTCGCTACCCTTGCCACTCTCATTGGAGTGCATCCTTTGGTAGGTGGGAGGAGCTCGGACAATAGACGGGGTCCCTGGGGTTACGTCGCCCTGAATAGACGAACCAGACTGTTAAAAATAGAAAAGAAAATTTATTCAAGTTAAAATAAAATGTAGACATCCATCATATCAAAATGTTAAGGCTTTGGTCATTCTCTTCAGCGTCAATTATTGAAAATTGATAACATTGTCTACAAATTTAAATGTATAGGACAGTATTTTTGACACCTTCAAAACATTAATTGAATCAGTTTTACGGAGGAAAAGTGCCAAAAGTGGTAACAGTCCTTGCTGCTTGCAATATCTGCTTAACATGTCCACAGATCAATGCATTGGGTGACCCATTTGTATACCACTATTCAATCTCTGGTAGCTCTAACTGAAAAGAGGCTCAGCCCATTTGAAGATGTATATTTTGAACTTAAAAGATCAAAAAGAAAAAGTTTGAACAACTTACTCACCTTACCACTAGTGCTCATAGCCCCCACCCCTCTCAACACATCCACTCCACCTCTCATATTAAGCTCTCCCCTCATAAACCTTTCCAGTTTGTCCACACATGCGTCTTGGTAATCGTGGATCCATCTAGCCAACAAAAACATAACATAGTTATGCTTACTATTCTATTACTTTCTAATGTTAAACATGAAATATAAATAATAATATTTGTAACAATCCATTTTATGCAACACTACTAACTGCTGCCAAGAGGACCGATCCAACAAGATAGTGTTATCTTTAATAGCTGGCGAATTATGTTAAAGTTGTATGTTATTATTTATTTTGTTTTAACAATGTAAAGATTGCAAAAAAGACCAGCATAATATTGTTGACAACGATTTGGACTAGGGACTAGGGAGGTAAGCCTTTTATAGCAACTATGTTTGGGACTAATAAGGATATAAAACTAAGAGTGTTTAAAACTAAGAGAAATTTATGAATTATTCTAGGTTTAGATTTGCCATTTCATAGTCATTTCATAGAAACACGTTAAATTAATTTCTGATCAGGATGATATTAGTTGATGTTATTGTTTTTGTTTGTAAAAAAGAAAAAATAGCAAGCATGTACACAATTTGAATATAAATTATTTCCAACAGTAGTTACCTGACTCCATTGAAATGACAAACAGCTCTCATATCCTCTGGTAGGTGTTCTGGTTCTGGCCACTCAAAGTTGTCTATGATAGGAATGATGTTACAGTTGGATTGCAGGGCTGCTACAATCTCTCTATGGACCCAGTCCTTGCACTCGCTGTCGGCTATACACCTCTCCAATGCCTGAGGGGTGAGCACCAGTAGGAAGTGTTTGGCTTGACGTATACTCTGCAGTAGGTTGTTGTCAAACTTGCCTGCCTCCAGCCTTTCCACATCGATGAACACAGAGAACCCTCTCAACTGTAGATGGACCTTCAGTAGACTGTAACACCAACATCCTACACTGACTGAGAGTCAATAAATAGCCTACAGTAACCTATATTAATCCGGCACTTCTCAGTACTGGTTCACATCTGTTCTTTAGGGCAATATCCGTCCGTCTTAATTAGATAACTAACTAATACCACCTATATTAAAGAACAACAAAAATAAACAATAATTATCCTAACAACAACCTACCAATAGTGTACCAAGCTAAATAGTCAAACAACTAAACATATTGTTCTAAAAAACATAAACAAAACATAAGTTCTTTAATATTTTCCCTAAAAGTAAAAACAAGAGAGTATGTTCTAAGAGTGAGAGATTGTTTACACAACTTTGGCCTGAAGTACAAGACGCAATACAGAAGTAATTTATATTATAAAATCCTGAAATCCTTCAGTTTCAAGTTACATTATTTATATGATGTAACCGTAACCGAGTGAAATAAACCACCTTTCACTGTTTTGAAAATTGAACAAATATTGATTAAATTACTTAATTTAAAATAACAAAAAATACTGTACTGTTGTAGAGTATGACAGGTAAAATGTTATACGAATAGGTTGAACTTTGGTGGGAAAACAATCAAATAAATAACTTGAGTAATTTTTGGCGGATTTTGATGAAATTTGGTTTGAAGGTGTAAGGGGGGATAAAATTGAATGAGTTCCCGAACCAGCATGATCAGACCATATGGGAACGGGGTTTTATGGGGTAAAAATTGGTTGTATAATTTTTGACCCTCTAAACACAAAATTTCCCAATTTCTCTCCAGACCTTTTTAAAGAGCCTAAAAAAAAATTATTTAGTATATCAACGTGTCTTGATACAATTATTGGTTACGGAGAAAATTCAAAACATTGTTATTTTGAAACTACCATGTTATTCTTATGGAGAATATTGTAAAATGTTGTAGTTTGCTTGTTTATGGATATATTTTGATCAAACTTGGTAAATTTATTTAATTTATACTAAGTTATTAATATTTTACTAAAAACACACTTTTTTACCCTCCCTGAAGCAGCAAGCCTATGAAATGAAATGAAATGTGTTTATTGTCTTGTGAATTTATACAAATTATTGACAATGTCATAAAACTGCTAAAATTAGCATAGTCAGTTAATGAATACAATAGGCCTATAGCTAACTACACACAAGGAGAAATAAATGTTACAATACATATTTTAATATTACAACAAAATAATCTTATTGTTAAGAAAAATTCAAGGCATTTGGAATAATGGAAGTTGTTAAACCCCATAACCAACTAAATCCAACTATGTACTCATAAAACCTAATGTTAATTACAGTTAATTGAAAATCAATTTAAGCAACTGGAAATTTGGTTAGTCGGCAGGTTTGCTGCAGCGGGGGTATTTTTATAATAAACATAAAAGGTATAATAGTAGGTTATATTTCATCACTAGGGCCTAAAATGTCCCTTTCTGACCCGAGCGGAAAATGAACGAGGGTTAAAAATACACTTTTTGCCCGTGTGGTGAACTATATTTTTTGACATATTGAATCATTAATTAACAAACTACGCTAGAAAACAAAATAATTTTTTATTTAAAGATAACCTCTTAAAACGACTTCCAGCTTGTTTTCAATCAGCTAATCAGCTAATCAGCTGTTTAGTAAGTGATTCAATCATTGTCTATTACGATTGTGTTACAGTATATTATACCATCGATGTTGAGCGATCGACAACAATAGGCTAAAACCTTACCTAATAATTCAATCGATAAATAATTTTGATGGATACGATTGTTAAAATCTAAATTTATAACTGTTTACAAAAGTTGATTATTAAAAATGCTGTTTTTGCTGTAGTATGACAAAAACATTGTAATTGATTTTTTTACTTTTCTAACATATGAACATGTGACATGTAATTAGACACACAATTCACACAAAGATAGAGACATTAACACCAAACCCGTAAAATACTACTCTACGTGGTGAATCAAACTTTTAATTTTGTGCAGTACTTATTTACTTTTATATTACATGCAACATGTTTTAATTTAAATTTTCAAGATAGGCAAACACAGTACCTTGCAAGTTGAGAACCATTTGATCTCCTGTAGCTGACAAAAACATCTAAGGACTTGTCCAAGTTCTCTTCGCAAGAGTTGGTGAGACTGTTCTCCATTTCTGAAAAATGTAAATAAATCTCATCATAAAACATTATCTTAACTTGTATCTTCCGAAACAATCTACACATTTATAAGATTAACATCAAGAAACGTTTGTTAGTCTCCCACAGCAGGGTGTGGGCTATAAAGCCTAATGAGAGTATTCAAGTAAAATTATAATAGATTTTGTGCCAAAAACTTACCTTAAAATGACAGTTAAAATCATTATAATGGTGATCAATGTAAGACAAGATGACAGCATAAAGCAGATATTTAAAATGGAGAAACATGCTTCGAGCTGTGTAATACCGGAATGGGCACACGGGAGGGACTAAGGCTAAAGGTGTAGTGACGTCATATCTCTAGTGGCTAATGTCTACTCTTGAGGCAACACAATTACCGTAACGAAACGATGTGATTTCAGCGGCGTACGTGGCTTAGTTGGTAGCGTTCCGATTAGATGTTCAGGAGGTCCCGGGTTCGAATCCCGGTAGTGGCACTAACTTTTTGTCAACAAATTTTTCATATCAGAAAGCTTGGTTGGTTAGGTTAGGTTATGACAGTTTTATTTTATATACTAAATTTTAAAATTAATTTGATAATTAATTAAAAATTATTGGTAATCATTAATTAGATTTTTATTTTATACAGTTTTTATATTATCAGCAAGTCTGGTTGGTTAGGTTATGTTATGACAGTTTTATTTTAAAAATTAAAAATTTATTTTATAATCTTAAAACAATATTTTAATTTTATAACTAAAAATACAAAAAAAATAATTTTTTCAACTTAGCGGTTCTAGCGGCGAACGCTGACACTACAAGATATGTTAGCCTTAGTCCCTCCCGTGTGCCCCACCGGTGTAATACCAATCAAACAAATCTTTAAACATTCAATATAACTAAACACAAATAACCATCAACAACAAGTTAGGAGATACTGATCAAAAAGTCCCTTGGAATAATCATGAGCTACAAACAGAGAGGGAAAAAATTATAGAAAAAAGCGCATTAGGGAGAATAACAAAAAATGAATATTTAGTGAATTCAGCTAAAGAAATGAACAAAGCATTTAAGAAAAATATTTTAAAAGCCAAACAAAGTTATATGGATGAAAAAATTTTGAGCTCAGGGAATGTATCCAAGACAACTTGGAATTTAATTAATTTAAATATAAAAAACAAAAAAAAGGTTGTGAAGAGCATAGATGAAATAGAGGTAAATTCTAAAGTATATAATGACCCTATTGTTATATGTAACACTTTTAATGATTTTTATGTCAATGTAGTTGATTCTGATGTAATTCCAAAAATAAATACACCAAATTTATCAGTACCTAATTTAGTAATAAATAACAAACAAAATAAATTTAGATGTGAACCAATCAGTGAGACAGATATCAGTAAAATAATTTCAAAATTTGATAATAAACTATCTTCAGGCTTTGACGATGTTCCCATAACAGTAATAAAGCATGCCCAGAGTTTACTTAAAAAACCATTTGCACACTTAGTAAATTCATCATTTATATCCGGCATAAAAGAGCAATCCGCATTATGTTAAATTTGGATTGGCAAGATTCTGTTAAGGAAAAATTTGAAGAACTAGGCATAATGACTGTATATAGCTATTATATCTATCAATGTATATTATATACTGTCCAAAATTCAAATAATGTCTCACTGGTAGGGGATTCTCATCAATACTGTACCAGAAACAGAAATAACTATGCAACACCTTCCCATAGATTAAGATTTTTTGAAAAAAAAAACAATGTATATGGGTATAAAATGTTACAATGCTCTTCCAACAAAATTAAAGGACTATACAAAAACTAAAAAATTTAAAAATAAGCTAAAAATGTACTTTTTAACTAAACCACTGTACTCAAAGAATGAATATTTCCTTCTACATAATATATTAGAATAAGAACATTTTCGATTATGTCTTGTACTTTTTTAGGATTAAGTATTATGATTTTGATCCAATGTAATGACGCCATTTGTGCACATGTTTGCAAATTATGAATAAAGTTGATTTCATTTCATTTCATTTCATTTCATTTCATTTCATTTCATTTCATTCATTTCATTTCATTTCAGGTCCTTGCATTTACTGTACAGAAATAACAACATGAATCAACAAACTATTCATAAATCATACAATTAAATAGTACCAATCATTTCCAAAGGAAGAATAAAAAGAAAAAAATACAAGTACAAAAATAAAAAATATACAGTACAGTAGAACCCCGGTTAACCAAAATAAAGGGGGGAGAGCCGTTTCGGATAACTAATTTTTCGGTTAACCCATCATATACTAAAAATAGCCAATGTATCACAGTGTGTTCCACAGTGTGTAGGAAAAATGAATTTAAGAGAATGTCTATATAATTTAGTGTTTCATTTCAGCTACAAAAATGTTACAATGGGAAAGAAAATACTTCATACCAGACAACTGAAGTTATTAAAGCATTTTACAGCCCTATATTATTTTATAGAACCGTTTCGGTTAATCCAAATTCTGTTAACAGGGGGTCAGGCTCAATGCTCAATGTACTGGTTTTGGTTAAGCTTCCAGCTATATGACTCGGGGTTAACCCTACCTACTACCTCCTAAGCATTAGAGGAAAGAAAAGAGAAACGTATAATTGTTATAATTTGGGGTTGTCCTTAAGAAGAAGCTGAAAGATGAAAAAAATATATTTCAGACATTTTACTCTCCTTTAAAACACTCCTATTTTAGTTAAATCTAGGATTAAGGCCTTTACAGAAAAATACTTGGATCTACCAAAGTGCCTTGGGAAGTACAGATCAGACGGTAAGTTTTTAAGGACAAGCTATTTGAGTTTGGAAGAAACAGGACTTTGATATAAACATTACCCAATGCAAAATCATGAACAAGGTTACACAGCTAATTCTATCACAGAACAAGCGTATGTTACTACATCTTATCATTTGATCTTATCTTAATCTATGGGAAGGTGTTGCATAGTTATTTCTGTTTCTGGTACAGTATTGATGAGAATCCCCTACCAGTGAGACATTATTTGAATTTTGGACAGTATATAATATACATTGATAGATATAATAGCTATATACAGTCATTATGCCTAGTTCTTCAAATTTTTCCTTAACAGAATCTTGCCAATCCAAATTTAACATAATGCGGATTGCTCTTTTCTGGAGAATTAAAATTCTGTCTAAATTAGCTTGCGATGTTCCTCCATAAATACTTATACCAAAGGATAAATGTGAGTGAATATGAGCAAAATAAACCAATTTTAGTGATTCAAGTTTACAAAATTGTGATAATGGATAAAGTGCAAATAGGCCTGTTGACATTCGATTTGCCACATGATCAATATGATAATTCCAGCTTAATTTACTGTCTATGTACAACCCTAGAAATTTAGTGTTCTCAATAATTTGTATATCTTCACCGGCTAATTTTAGTGCTGGGTAATCTGAGTTGGTATTAGTTTTTAGATTAAAGCGTGTAAAATTAGTTTTGGAAAGATTTAGTAATAGCTGATGATCTGAAAAAAAAATTATTGATGTTCATCAAGTTATCGATGGCAGATGTTTCTATCTCATGAACAGATTTTCCGCTTACAAGAAGATTAGAATCATCGGCATATAAACAGATGTTATTTCTTGTTGAATTTGAAATAACATTGGGTAATCCATTGATATATGTAAGGAATAGTAGAGGACCCAAAATAGAACCCTGTGGTACACCATGTTTAATTGTTCTCAACTGTGATCTTGTTGTAACCATCTGGTACAAATAAAAAAATACATGTACAAAAATAAAAAATATACAGTACAGTAGAACCCCGGTTAACCAAAATAAAGGGGGGAGAGCCGTTTCGGATAACTAATTTTTCGGTTAACCCATCATATACTAAAAATAGCCAATGTATCACAGTGTGTTCCACAGTGTGTAGGAAAAATGAATTTAAGAGAATGTCTATATAATTTAGTGTTTCATTTCAGCTACAAAAATGTTACAATGGGAAAGAAAATACTTCATACCAGACAACTGAAGTTATTAAAGCATTTTACAGCCCTATATTATTTTATAGAACCGTTTCGGTTAATCCAAATTCTGTTAACAGGGGGTCAGGCTCAATGCTCAATGTACTGGTTTTGGTTAAGCTTCCAGCTATATGACTCGGGGTTAACCCTACCTACTACCTCCTAAGCATTAGAGGAAAGAAAAGAGAAACGTATAATTGTTATAATTTGGGGTTGTCCTTAAGAAGAAGCTGAAAGATGAAAAAAATATATTTCAGACATTTTACTCTCCTTTAAAACACTCCTATTTTAGTTAAATCTAGGATTAAGGCCTTTACAGAAAAATACTTGGATCTACCAAAGTGCCTTGGGAAGTACAGATCAGACGGTAAGTTTTTAAGGACAAGCTATTTGAGTTTGGAAGAAACAGGACTTTGATATAAACATTACCCAATGCAAAATCATGAACAAGGTTACACAGCTAATTCTATCACAGAACAAGCGTATTAAAAGGCAAAGAATTATAATACAAAGTTTTATCCAGCAATGGGGAAAATGACAATGCCTTTGAACCACATATCAAACACGGTGCAGTACTTCAAAAGGATGATTTGCCTCTACTGCTAAATTGGGGATTGACTTTTGTAGCTCGTCTGTTTAAAATACAAACCTCTGATGGATTCCAATATTCTCAGTCTGTGTATACTGTTAGTGATGCCACATTCATTCAGGAGTTGATCTTCTGACAGACACCTAAACAGATCAATACACACTTATTACCTCTCTAAAACATTAACCAAACTCTAAAGTAAAAAAAAAACTTTAAAATATACAGATCACATATACATGCTTTTTCCAGACAATTCTTTTAAAACATTCTATGGTAAAAGTGATAAATCTGAGTAGTCCATAAGCATTATACATTAATTACCTAATATATTTTATTTTTGTCATTCCTTTATTATTATATCTAATTTATACCCTTTAAACTCTAAACAAATTGACCTTAAAGTAGAGCTCTTAATTCTTACCGTTTAGTATTCATTTAAGTGTTGTGTATGACGTTTCTGTATGCACATGTAACATAATGGGTACTATACTAGAAATTAAAAACGCATACAGTAGAGCAGGCACGTTTTAAAATACCCCCGCAGCAGCAAACCTGCAGACTAAGCGAATTTCCATTAACCTGATTGGATTTACACTAAAATGCCTCCATAAATATAGCACATTTATTTCCTATTTAAATAGAATTAGTTTAACGAGTACTTAGGTTTGCTGCAACAGGGAGGGTAAAAAAGATATTTTTATAAAATGATAATAGTTTAGTAAGAATTAAAAGTATTTTCCAAAATTGATCAAAATATGTTCATAAACAAGCAAACTACAACAGTTGCCTTATTCTCCATAAGAATAACATGGGAATTTTAAAATTACAATTTTTTTGAATTTTCTCCGTAACAATTAGGTGCATAATAACGCTTCAATATACTAAATTATTTGTTTTTTTAAGCTCTACAAAATGGTTTAAAAAGAAATTGTGAAATTTTGTGTTTTTAGGGTCAAAAATGGGAAAAACCTATTTTTACCCCATAAAACCCCCCATAAACCCCCGTTCCCATAGTCCGATCATGCTGGTTCGCGAACTCATTCAAGTTTATCGCGCCTTACACCTTCAAACCAAATTTTATCAAAATCGGACAAAAATTACTCAAGTTATCGTGCGGATGGACACATATATATATATATATATATATATATCCCTATATATAGATATATAAAAATTTGAACGAATGGTGTTTTTGGCCTCTGGGGACATCAAAATGAAAAAGTAAATCGGTCCCGGGCTTAGTTCTTACCATGAGACCTACGGTAATAGCTACTTCCCTATAGGGAAATTCGCTAAAAGAACAATGCAAGAAGCATTTCATGTAACGATTGGGGAAACAAAGTTTTTAGGGTATTTCGACCCTGCTGAGTACGGATCTACCTGTTGCCAAAGCAAAATTTGAATCGGAAGTGCGGTATCCAAGATGGCGGCGAAAACTCTGTTTGCCCATATCTCCCTTGTTAGTGGGCCTAAAATCGTAGTTTAAACGTCTGCATAGGGGGTTTTTCGGATGCCAAACACATTGTAACATTCAAAATTCACTTACATAAAGTTTTCGGGGCATATGTTCCAAGATGGCATCCAAAAACTCTGTTATCGTATATCTCCCTAGTCTGTTTAAAATAATTATTTAAACGTCTACAAGGAATTTTTTCGGATGCCAAACGCATTGAAACCACATTGTTCATTATTTACTTCCTATGAGTTCGGATTTCCAACATGACCGCCTATACTTCCGTCCTCCGAAGAGAACATGGAATATGGGAAAAAGAACATTTCAGATTCAAACGGTTATGGTTAATTGCCATATTTTAAAGAATATATAAACACAATAAATCAACCATTTAAAAGGTTCAAGCGTTGTCGAGAATGGTGTGGCACAGTTTGGTGCAAGTAAGTCCATTCTTCTTGCTCATTCACATTGTATATAGACACTTGGATAAACAATTACAGGCTAGGATATCTGTGCAGGCTGTGGGGTCAGGCTCAATGCTCATAAGGATGGTAATGTACTGGTTTTGGTTAAGCTCCCGGCTATATGACTCGGGATCTAACATCACCGGTCGGGCAAGATGAGCATTCTCCGCAAATGTTGGTAAATTTCCTGGAAGTTATTGATCAGCAGAAAACAGATGTCGGAATCCCTTGCTATTGGAATGGACAGCATGTAGCACAACGCATGTGTCGGCCTCATCATGAGTCGCAGCTAGAGTACTGACATCAATTTCAGGGTTGGTTGATCTCACATCTTCGTGTGAGAGACCTCCAGATACAAAAACTTCAAGCACCCCAAAAATATGATTGAGAATTTCATGAGAGAAGAAGCGGGCATGGTCGGCCTTGTTTTCCCTCAGTGCTAAAAGAATTTCCAATCTTTTGGCAAGGTAGGGCAGCACTTGTAATGTCTTTTCTTACTGGAGTGGTTCCCTTGGGTTGTCTGCAGCGGGTCCCATTTTTAATTGACTTCGCACAACACCGTTAAAAAAAGTATGTTGACTGTAGCATATGGTTTTCCAAGGTAAAATCTCCTATCGATTAACATTGCAGCAAGGTCCCCAAAAGTAATTGTGTTTGGTGGTTTCCTAATGCTGTTCACCAAAGCTTGACCGTATATAATGAGTTCAATGTCATTAAAAAATTCCTTTAAAAAAATCTTCTTTACCCATTGAGGCCCAAGGTAAACAAACCTCCTTTAATGGGGTGGTACCACAAGATTAATTAATTTTAATGTTAATATTATAACCAGGCTTTCAACCCATTTGCATCGTCTTATTTATTTACAAAAAATACCAGTATCACTGAAACGTTAAAAAGAAAAAAAGATTTTTTCGACTATTTTTTATAATGTTTTATAGTATTTTTTTTTTAGAAGAAAAAAATAATAAATATACAGGGTGCGGCAGAAAGAACTCCCCTATTAGGAAAGCTAATAAAAACAAAACCAAGTAAGATATGACATTTTTATTGCTATTAACCAAAAACACACATTATGCCATTTAAAAAAATATAAAATTATAGTGCTTTAAATAAAATGTCGTTTTAATAATCGATAATTTAAAATTATCGTGTTTTAAATAAAATATCATTTAATAGTCTAGTCAAGATATGAAAAAAACCCCTTAACCTTAAAAAAATTGCTCTAAAAGGTTTTTTGATGGTTTTCATTTCCAAAAAGTATGTTAAATTACATACTAAAAGTCTAATAAAATCGGAGTCTCGGAAATTGGGTTTTTCCAATATGGCGTCCAAAAATTTGAAAAAATAATAAACCTTACTATTTTCCCTGTAAATTTTCTTCTGAACCTCCAATTTAGACCGAATTTGGTACAAACCTTTGAAACTGTATTATCTATAAACTATTCATGATTTAAGATAAATAATATACAGTAAACGTGTTGTATGGGGTTGAAAATAGGTAAAAATCTGTCTTAAGTTGTTAGTAGTAAATAACTTATTTCAATATTAGTCACTATAGGGAACAAAACTTTTTATCCCTAGTCTGTGCTATACCCATGTTGTAAATCCTTAAAAAATATATGCAATTTAGTATTTTTAATCATTAAATTATCTTAAGTGGTGGTGGGATAGTTATGAAAAACCTATGTAATTCTTATGGGTACTCTGAAAATTACCATATCTTAATTGTTAATTGGTACGCTTGGATAACAATTCATCGTGGCCTGTATCGTCTCCACAGATACAAACACACACATATTTGTCATAAGCGAATTCTGTGTTGAGTCAAGTAATAGAATTTGTTTCAATACTTTTTTTACGCTCATTTAATTCTTTTATTTTGTAATAGTTTACAAGTAGTTTATAAAAAAAAATATATGTATAAAGTTAACAGGTATATTTTGGTAATACTGTTGTTAATCAGCTGTTTTTAAACTCCACAGGATTCGCTTCCGCTCATTCAATTGTAGTTTAGTAATAAAACACAAATAGTTAATTACAAAAATAATTACATGTATAATGTTTACAGGTTTATTTTGGCAATACTGCTGTTAATTAGATGTTTTTTTTTTACTTCATATGTTTCCAATCGTATTATTGTTCATGTTTACAGTTATTTAGATCAAATTTAGTCTAGCCAAGATATGAAATAAAACCCCTTAACCTTAAAAAATTGCTTTAAAAGATTTTTTGAAGGTTTACATTTCCAATAGGTATGTAAAATAATATACAAAAAGTCTAATAAAATCGGAGTCTCGTAAATCGGGGTTTTTTCAATATGGACAAAATTTCAAAATTTCACTAAAATACTTCCATAGACAAGCAAGCTTTAACACTTTATTTATTCTTCATAAGAATAACATGGTCATTTTAAATGTACACTTTTTTATTTTCTCCGTAACCGTTAGGCACACAACAACGCGTCTGTATACTAAATTATTTTTTTTATCATCTCTTCAAAATGGTTTGGAAATAAATTGCAACTTTTTACAGTGAAAAATGGGAAAATCCCATTTTTACCCCGTAAAAATAGGAGATCTTAAGCATACTCAATTTTTGGGCTTAACCTAGACACAAATCTTAAATATACACAAATCATAATACAAAAACTTTCTTCAGGGTTATATGTTTTTAGGCCAGTGTCACTAATGTAACCTGGACATTCTAAAATAAAAATATTTTGTCTTATGGTCTGGCAATCTATGGAGGAACGCCCAAAAAATTTAGATACAGTTCTGAAACTAAAAATGCTATAAGAATCATGCTATACTTAGACAAACGATAACTGTAAAAGATCAATTTTCAAAACTACAAATTTTGACTGTCTGATCAATAAATATGTACTATAACTAGTGGCCTGTAGGGGCCATAGCCCCTAATTTAGACTACAATAAAAAGCCATATATAAAAAGACAAATATTCGAAATATGTTTTTAAAATTATCAATTTTATGTTACTTAAAATTAACAGTGTTTCTTTTTTTATATCTTGCTTTTCCTTCCGTTGGAGTCGTATATTAGTTGCTTCTGATGTGTCAATGAAATTCAATTGTAAAATAATGATTAAATCAATAACACAACATAACAAATGGAAACGTGCACACGGTTTGGCCTGAGCCCGGAGAACGATGAATCAGAGCTGCAATCATACTGCCAAACATTGCACATCTTTTCTAGTTTAAAATTGAAGATTTGTTTTGTAATCTTACGAATTCTGTTATAGTTTTCATTTCGAGAACCAAATGTATGTAAAGGTTAAAATTATTATTAATTATTATGAAGGCAACTGCCCCATTTCACGGTAGTAAGTCAGAAATATATCTATGAATTTGTCCCTGAATTTTAAAACAAAATTTGGAAATTAGGAAAAATGTCCATCCATATGAAACTAGAAATAAAATTTATATAAATTTATCAATCTTAGCTTCTATGAAAAAACTAAAAAAAGGAAACCTTCATGGGATCAAAATTTTTGAATAGTTTTCCTACCAAATTAAAAAGTAAAATAAACCAAAATTATTTCATACATCAAGTGAATCAACTGCTAAAAAAAGAAAAGAACTATTATTCATTTGAAGAGTTTTTTTGTTCAATTAATGTAAAAAAAAATGTTGAGATGCTCTGCTGGAAAAAAATAAACAATAAAAACAACTCGATGACCCAAAGTGCCGCTCCAGAGATTTGTAAGATTTGCTCACTGCAACTACTCTACTGGCTGCAAGAATTTGCAATGCTCCTGCAACAAAGTATGGGTTACCTTGTACCGGTACTACAGCTTGTGGACTTTACCAGCTTGGAGAACAATGTGCCAGTTCGTAAAGTGATCATAACAGTGTACAACTTGATGAAAATTATGAATTATTATTTGTATAATGCTCTACTACTAACCACAAGAAAGTGTGACTATATTATACTATTACTAATATTATAAATGTGACAGTTTGTTTGTTTGAAGTTCAATCACGCATTAACTACTAGTCGGATTGGGCTGAAATGTGGCTTTATGATAGCTCAGATTCCCGATTAATACAAGCCTATTCTTATCTAAAAAATCCTTTCGGGCTAAAAATGTATAGATATTTATTTAAGTAAATAACATATGTATGTTGAATTTTAGCTAGCTTGTGATCTTTATTTTAAGACCTATTATTTGATTTTTCAAGAAAAAAATAGTCATAAATTAAAACACCCCCACCGCAGCAAACCTGCACCCTAAGCGTCACATTTATTCCCTTTTTAAATAGCACTAGTTTAACTAGTACTTCAGTTTGCTGCGACAGAGAGGGTGAAAAAGTGTTTTTAGTAAAATGTTAAATAGTTTAGTATAAAACAAATGCATTTTCCAAATTTGATAAAAATATATTCATATACAGGCTAACTACAACAAGTTTTCTTATTCTCCGTAAGAAAAACATAGGAGTTTGAAATTTAATTTTTTTTTTAATTTTCTCCGTAACTATGTATTAGACCCATGACAACGCTTCAATGTACTAATTTTTTTCTGAGCCCTAAAATGGTTTCGAAATAAATTGCAAAATTTTACGTTTTTAGGGTCAAAAATGTCGAAAACCCATTTTTACCCCGTAAAACCCCCCATAATCCCCCGTTCCCATGGTCCGATCATGCTGGTTCGCGAAGTCGTTCAAATAAACGTAGGTTTACATGTTTGTACCAAATTTCATCGAATTCGGATAATTTTTGCTTGAGTTATTGTGCTAACGGACACATTTGACCAACATCTTGGACGCCATCTTGAATTTTGGACTTCCGAGACTCCGATTTTATTAGACTTTTTTTCCTGGAAAATACACATAATTTTAAGTCAAAATAACCAATAAAACAATTTAAAGCAATTTTTTTAGGGTTCTCGTACGGATTTACTCGACTATAAATGGAAAGTCTAAGGTATACGAACATCGCCCTCAAAGTTTGGAAGCCCTGAAGGAAAGAATAAGGCATGAAGTTGCAGCCAACTCACCCGACATGACCCGAAAGGTAATGGACAACTACCGGGAACGTTTGAACCAATGTGTTAACACTGGAGGCCGCCATTTAAATGACATTTGATTTAAAACACGATAATTTTAAATTATCGATCATTAAAACGACATTTTATTTCAAACACTATAATTTTATATTTTTTTAAATGGCATAATGTGTGTTTTTGGTTAAGAGCAATAAAAATGTCATATCTTACTTGGTTTTGTTTTTATTAGCTTTCCTAATAGGGGAGTTCTTTCTGCCGCACCCTGTATATTTATTATTTTTTTCTTCTAAAAAAAAAAAATACTATAAAACATTATAAAAAATAGTCGAAAAAATCTTTTTTTCTTTTTAACGTTTCAGTGATACTGGTATTTTTTGTAAATAAATAAGACGATGCAAATGGGTTGAAAGCCTTCATAGGCATATACAAAACTTACCTTTGTCTGTAGATTAATTTGTCCATTGAACTCCTGTCGTGACGCAGGGACCTAGTTAAGTTGACCTTTTTCTTACTTTTGCTGCTTTCGCTGGACTTTTCGAAATGTTTCTATGGTTGGAATGTTTTGATTCCAATTTTCAAGAGATGGGTATACTTTTACAATATGATTCTGTTGTAAAATAAATTCCACAGACCTGATAGAATCCCTGTCAACTCCTGCATTCAACATGGAGTACGTGTAGATGGAAAACTCGGGTCCGATGTTCTGTAGGAAAGCATTGAGATTTGTTGCATCTCTGCTGCTGTAGTCGGCCATTCTCTTGAGGTTTTGAAGTTCTCTTGTGAATCTAAATCATTAGTATACACTTTACTGACTACTTCAGTTCCACAACAGTTCAGTTTCAGTCACTACAATGAGTTAACACTTTAAACATATACACTTTATACACTTTAAATAGGATACAGTTTGGTTTTTAATGGCAATACAAGACTGATTGCTGGAATTTAACTTTTTATTTACTTTCCAAGCTATTCTTATCAGTTTTTTAATCAATCAAATGGTTACAACTCCAACTCAACCATGATTGATTCTTTTGCGAAAATTCATCATTACATTGTTTACTACGGATAAAGAATGTTTACTATGCAAAAGTAATGTTTACTATCTTTTTTTGGATTTTGCAGACATAAACAAACAAAGATTTGTTATTGTTTTGTCATCGGTTTCAGTTTTCAACCACCAAAACTGTACGAATGCTATGAGTTTTGTAATGTTCCTAACTGTAATAAAGAATTGTTCAATGTCTGTTTTAATTAAGAAAATAATTAGTCTTTGTAGTGTAGCGAAAAGTAAAGTTCAAAACACGATGAGTGAAAGTGGGTCTATACATATTCTCGACTATTTAAGGTGCTCGATAAATCTTGCACTTCCAAAAATGGTCTCAACTATATCATGACTCACTTAGTACTCATGTTAGGAAATATACTATTTCAAGGGTCCAAAATGTTGATAATGTTTTTTCTTTAATTCTCTAGATTTTAGTGTTTGCTATATAAGTTGAAAACAATTTCAGATCCACCCCCAAAAGTGTTCCAGTTGTCTTACCTCCGTCTTCTGATTCCATTAACAATGCCGATATCTTCTTTTAAGTTTTCTTCAGCCAGTTGCAGCAACAAATCTCCATCAACTCTACTCTCGATAAAGTTGTTGGCGTACTCAAGAAACCCAATCTACTGACAAAAAATTGTTTAAACATTTGTATTTGTGTGTAAAATATGGTGTTGAAATATAGTTTCAGCAAATTTTGTGAGTTATGATAATTAACAAGTAGTGAACCACAAACATATTACACTCAACAAAAATCTAAATCTTTAATGATTTGTGTTTTAATTAAACTTATGGAGTGCTGCATTAGGTTTCAGTTTTCTATACTACAAATCATACATAATAACTATGAACAGGCCATGAAGTAAAAGCTCAAACCAATATGTAATGTAATGAGCAAGTTTAAGAAGATGATCGTACCTGCTTCACCCACTCTCTCACATCTTCTGATGACCAGAGAGGTACTTGCTGACTCAGCTTATGTGGAACTTCTTCCCCGATGAGTCGCAACGCCTGAGCTGCGTATTTGGACGCAACAGCATTAGGACAACTAGCGACCTTCTTCAGCGGCTCAATGGCTCCAATCTCTCTGAATATCTCTGTGTTCCCTTGCTGCTTCTTAATCCCCGCTTCCATGCAGAAATGGAACGCCGCAAGATTCCTCGCCTCTTCTCGTTTTGAGCTCAACACTGGCACCAGCTTCTGCAGCCAATCTTTACTCTGTCCGTGTGCATGTGCGAGGTTTGATTTGGCAAATTCTGAAGGATTGTGAGATGTTACAAACGGTTCCACGAGGTCTAAAGTGCCTGATTTCAACACAGCTGCTTCAATCTCCGTGTTAGCTACTAAGACCGCGATGGCAAGACAGGCATAGTATTTGATGTTGTCATCGTTGTGGAATGCCAAAGGGAACAGCCACATGGGTACTTTACGCTTGATCATCGCCTCTTGGTTCTCCGCACCTCCATACAAAGACAGGTTGGCCAACGCACCAGCACAGTGGCGTAACGTTTCTATATCGTTCTTCCTGCACTCAAACAACACTGCGTCCAGTCCTCCCAGTCTGATCACATCACTACACGTCCCTTCACTGTGCTTGAACAGATGTTGTAGGATTCCTAGAATGCAAAACATCTTATCAGTATTCCTTTAGGCTTATCTGTGAAGGGAAAGTTCTTAGGAAAAAAGAAGTTGATGGTTAGAGCTAAGGAGACTGCAAGAAAGACATAGAAGAAAGTGATAGATGAGATTGCAAGTGATGTGAAGAAGGGAGGATAGAGATAGAAGATGGTAAAGGAAGCGGGCAAGACTGTGGAGGGGCAAGAGTAGAGGCCTTAGTCAACATCAGAAGAGGATATGTATGCATGTATCTATGCTTTCAATTTCAATCCTATGCTACTCAATTTGATATTTTTAACTCTTTATTTGAAATGTATAAATTATAAAACAAAAACTAGAGATAAGTTAAGCTAATCATTTCTAGTTCATCATGTAAGGACACGTTTACAGTCCTCAAATAGTTTTTAATGTTGTTAGAAAGAATTTATGACGGTATACAAACATACCAGTTATGATAACTAGGCCTACCTGAAAACTGTCAACTTTTACAAAGGCATCATGAAATTAAAAAGGCAGGTTTAATTTCATGATGCCTTTGTAAAAGTTGACAGTTTTCAGGTAGGCCTAGTTATCATAACTGGTATGTTTGTATACCGTCATAAATTCTTTCTAACAACATTAAAAACTATTTGAGGACTGTAAATGTGTCCTTACATGATGAACTGAAAATGATAACTTAACTTATCTCTAGTTTTTGTTTTATAATTTATACATTTCAAATAAAGAGTTAAAAATATCAAATTGAGTAAGTCGAATAGAGTAACATTCAAACATTGAATAGTTATGGAACTCGAGTAATGTTCTAATTAACTATAGTATAGTTGACTGCACAATCCCGTTAGATGGTTAATTTTGGCTCTTTTCTCAATTGAATATGGTACGGTACTTGAAAACAGCTACCAATAAAACTTGTATACCAACCTCCTTTCGTTTTCCCTCAAGCTACAATACTTTGTAATGAAACAGTGATTTCTGAAGTTAAAACATTGGATACCACCATTAGACAATCAAAAACAAGTGAACTATATTATTAATCTAAATTTTGTATAGTAAATAATTGTAAAACTTAGTTCATCTATTACAAATGATCTGCATGTAACTGAATGCTACATTTATCCTCACCTGTTCCTACCCTTGAGTGGTCCACAGAGTTGGCATTCTTAGTGCATACACAGGCTACTTTCACCACCTTCTCAAGTCCCTTCTCTACGACGTGAGCTCTGTTCTCCGTCGTCAGACATTGCTCCAGCAGCTTCGCCGAACTGAACTGCACTTCTCGGTCGTCCACAGAACAATTGTTCATCAGAAGATCCAAGCCACCACAGTCTCGGAGAGCGTTGCATAGTGAATACCTAACAGAAAATAGCAGCTATTAGAGGAGGTAGCTGTCCTAGCCTGAGGGACTTGGACTCTGAACTACCAGTACCAGGTCTTGTCATTGCCACTTGGCTAAACACAATGATAAGGTATGGGCAGGATATCAACTCAGGACTGGAATACAAAAATCTTACTACAGACCAGCTGTACCCAGAACATAGCTCGGATAATGAAGTTATTGCATAGTTTACTTTGGAATACTTCTTGGAATGTGTACAGGTTATCAACATTTTTTTTTTTTTATTAAAACATGAATTTAAAATGGTGGAATGAACAATAACAACTATTTATTATTCAATACCTTATATCACTAGTTGTTATGACAAGTCCTGATGTGTTCTTGTGTTATTAAATAAAAAATTATAAACTTCAGATAAACCAAAAATCAATGAAACCTCCATTAACCATAAATCCTTTAGTGATAAATTGGTTTATCTGACATTAGACAAAAAAGCATCTATTGAAAATAACAGACACGTAAATATTTAGTTCTACCTATTGTTATTACAAAAAATTATTCTTGGTCAGGTACAAAATATGAATGTATTTTGAGAGTGTATCATTCTAATATGCAACGTTCTACTCTTTTAACTCCCTCTCAAATTATTGAAAAAACAACAGTTGCACATACATTTTTTTCCTGCAACAAAATAATATCATCCCAAAAGGAGACCTGGCACCAATAATGGTTTCCATTTCTAAAGATTTTAAAAGTTTAAACATATTAAATTAAATAAGAAGCACACAAATGTTCATTTCATAAAAAACATGTTCCAAATTCTTACCCCAGTTCGTGACCATGGGCAGGCACTGCCCAGGCTTTCCTCATCATTTCGTTGATGTTGTTGAGGATGTTTGGAGCTCGCTTGCCATCGCCCCGTCTGATACTCTGCACTAGTGAGTCGAGTAATTTGGAGTACTTGTGTATTGCAGCTGCCACCTGATGAAGATAACATTGCATAAATAAATCATAATCATTAACACCTAGTAACTAACACAATCAATCTGACAAGATTGCTCCAGTAAAAAGTGATCAGGTATTCTTATACAAAAGGAAACAAGAAGAAAACAGGTAAAATGTGGTTGATAAAACAAAAAGAGACGACCTAGAAATGATAAAAAATTATAAACTACTAAGAGGAAGAGAATAGGGGAAGAGGAAGCAAATAAAGAGGAAAAATAGGGAGCATCTATACAGAGAAGGGATTGTGATGTTTGAACTATTAAAAAAAGTTTAGTCAGATAGCAAATAAGACCAAAATAAAGAGTAAAGCGTAAGTACCATAACCACTAGATTAAGAGATAAAAAGATTATTCCTGCCCTGATGAATGAAACAAAATGTTGTTGAAATCCTTAATAAGAAACAGTAAATAAGAGTTTTGAACATCTCATGGCGATTTTTAAGGTGGAATAAATGTTTACAACAATTTAAAACCTGAGCGATTTACTACTCATCCAAAATATTGAGCTCATAGCTCAGCCAAATAAATGTTATAATAATCACAGTTAGAACAATATGCATATTCAGTTATTCGCTATGATATTTATCTATGGATTTTACCTCTTGAGGACTTGAAGTGACACTGAGATTCTCTAGATCTTCAAAACTCTGCAACCCTCCACTATCCTCGAGGCTCTTTACAGTTCCGTTTATCATGGAACTCATCTGAAAATATAAATATGTTATTAGAGATTGTCCAGTTGCAGAAACTTGTATTGTTGAAGATTTTTTGTGTTTAGTTTACCCAATGTTGTAACAGGATTTTTTTGTACTGTGATAAACTGCACATTAGGTAGCATTAAAGACCATAAGGCCTACATATAGTGAAGACAGTAAAGATAGAGTACCTAAATATCAAGACTAAACTCACCTAAGTGCATATTTAAAGCTGAATATGAGTCCATATACTATAGGTGAGTGAGATAGGCCCTTAATCTGTTTAGATTTGTTAGTGTGACTGACTAAGACCTGAGCCAGAACCATTTATTGAACCCCTATCAATGATGGACAGCTGGGTCCAGTTTCAAACCATCAACAAAAGGTTCCTAATACTAGTAGTACGCTTATTCTGCGCGTAACGGGATGAGTGAACATGCGCAGTACCGGTAATGAAAGAGTCCACCCACACCTAGCCTACTTACCGGTGTCACTGGTGAACACAATGTTATTTGTATGGGCAAATCAACTAAATCTTAGTCAAAAACAATCCTAACTTCTCATCCATTAATTAACCAATGTCATTGGTAATATACGTAATGGATTTCCAACAGTTATCGATAGGAGGTAAATCCATCGTTCCTGTACAACATGTCTTTTGATTAAATGAAGCCTATTTCCATATTTGTTATGAGGCCTATCATAAAAAAACTAAGCCAAACTGAACTAATCTAACTTAAACCTAATTGCCAAAGCACGACGTAAGGAATCTCCTAAAAATATCGTATGGCTTACAATAATGATTTAAAACGATATCGTAATTATATCATATAAAAATGATTAAAACTCCAACATATGTTTATCTAACTAATGAAGGGTTCCCACACTCCGGACTGCTTGCCTCAACTACTTCCACCACCACTTCCTACGTCGTAAACATGTTTCCCTCCCTTCCTATGGCATTTTAGTATTGCAGGTACATTAACCTAACTGTCACAAAGGGTCCCCACACTCCGGACTGCTGGCCTCAACTACTTCCATCACCACTTCCTACGTCGTAAACATGTTTCCCTCCCTTCCTATGGCATTTAAGTATTGCAGGTACAACCTAACTGTCACAAAGGGTCCCCACACTCCGGACTGCTGGCCTCAACTACTTCCATCACCACTTCCTACGTCGTAAACATGTTTCCCTCCCTTCCTATGGCATTTAAGTATTGCAGGTACAACCTAACTGTCACAAAGGGTCCCCACACTCCGGACTGCTCGCCTTGACTACTTCCTTCACCACTTCCTACGTCGTGGACCTGTTTCCCTCCCTTCCTTTAGAATTTTATTTATGCAGATCCATTAATCTAACTGTCACAAAGGGTTCCCACACTCCGGACTGCTCGCCTTGACTACTTCCTTCACCACTTCCTACGTCGTGAACCTGTTTCCCTCCCTTCCTTTAGAATTTTATTATTGCAGATCCATTAATCTAACTGTCACAAAGGGTTCCCACACTCCGGACTGCTCGCCTTAACTACTTCCTACTTCCTTCACCACTTCCTACGTCGTGGACCTGTTGCTCTCCCTTCCCATAGCATTTTTAGAATTGCAGATACATTAATCTAACTATTACAACGGGTTCCCACACTCCGGACTGCTCCCCTAGACTACTTCCTTCACCACTTCCTACGTCGTGGACCTGTTTCCCTCCCGTCCTTTAGAATTTTATTATTGCAGATCCTGTTTCTCTCCCTTCCCATAGCATTTTTAGGATTGCAGATACATTAATCTAACTATTACAACGGGTTCCCACACTCCGGACTGCTCGCCTTGACTACTTCCTTCACCACTTCCTACGTCGTGGACCTGTTTCCCTCCCTTCCTTTAGCATTTTATTATTGCAGATCCATTAATCTAACTGTCACAAAGGCTTTCCACACTCCGAAGCGTTCGCCTTGACTACGTACTTCACTACTACTTCCTACATCGTAGACCTGTTTCCCTCTCTTTCCATAGCATTTAAGTATTATAGTGATATATTAATTTAACAGTCACAAAGTGTTTCCACACTCCGCACTGCTCACCTTTCCGCTTCCTTTACCACTCTCTACGTCGTGGACCGGTTTCCCCCCCCCCTTCGCATAGCATTTTAGTATTACTAACATCTTGAATATTTAACATTCATGTATTACTAACATTGAATATTTAATATTCAATGCCAACATTAAATTGAATAATGTAAAAAGCTGCTTTGTTCTAAATATATACATATATATTTTTAGTTTGAAGGTGAATTTTAATACTGAACATAAACGGTATATAACTGCCGATTAATATTGTAAAGTTCAATTTATCATTCAAAAAGTTGTGAAATTTAATTAACTTAAACAACATTATTCTGAAACCTGTGAAATTATAATGATATATATTCATAGACGCCAAACTGTTTACTCCATGAATGAAAGAGCTTAGAGTAAATGTCGTTCTCTCTGTCTTAAGTAGACAACAAAATTGTTGGTCGCAAAACGTAAACAAATAAAAAGAAGAAGAAGGTAGCTCCTAATGTTATTCTTATGGGACAAATTTAAAAATGTTTTTTAAGGGTTTTATAATTACTACTGAGCGGAATCGTCTAGAATTTTAATGAGGTCTTCCCACTGGTGTCATAATTATCTGTGCAAAATTTGAAAGCTATAAGTGCGACGGTTCTTGAGTTTTTGGTGCGAACACACGGACTCACAGACAACTTTTCTCCGACTCCGCTATACACGATACATAGATTCGTTCACTTCGTTCACTCATCTATTACAGTACCTATTTTAGAATATAGGGACCCTGATGATGTCACAAAATGTGAGGTGAAATTTGCATAGCATTAGAAATACCCTTGCCACAGCAAACCTGCAGACTCAGCAAATTTCCATTTGTATTGGACTTTTTACTAAAAAACAGTATTTTCTAAAAAAAAACGTGCAAGATTTATTCCCCGTTTGGATTAAATGTTTTTTTTATTTTTATTTTATACAACAACCTTACCTTTGTAAGGTACGCAACAACCCAATGTACAAAATAATTTTTTAAAGCTGTGTGATGAATGAAGTAAAAATTGGGCATTTTCACATTTTAAGAGTAAAATTTGGAAAAACCCAATTTTTGCAACATTTTTAACCCTATAACAGAGTTCCCAAAGCTCGATCTTGCTGGTTCCCAAATTCATTCAAGTTTATACAGGGTTAGGCAAAAGTCTGGAACCCCCCAGTTAACTTTTTAACGTTTTACAGTAGGAAAACCAAACTCGGCACATATTTACAACATAAGAAATTGCACTTTTTCATCAAAGTTACAACTTTGCCCCAGACACCCAAATGGGTTGTTTTGGTAACAGCCCCAAATTTTCAAATGTAAACACCTATCATGTGACCCCTCATTTTAAAGGGTTTCTCAAGACAAATTAAATTACGCATATTGGTCAATATCGCACCCCTAATGAAAATGGCAGTCATTAAATGGATATTTGATAGATTATAATTAAGCACTAATTTTCAAAATTAAAGCATATTTTTACAAGAATGGGACTTGTCCATACAGTCCAGAGAGAACACATTGAGTACCTAGGTTGTAAAAAGTAGGTTCAATATTCAATTTTGAAAATTAGTGCTTGGTTATAATCTATCACATATTCATTTAATGGCTGCCATTTTGATTAGGGGTGTAATATTGACCTCTAGTTTGCGAAACCCTAATGAGGGGTCACATGATAGGTGTTTAATTTGAAATTTTGGGGCTGCCCCAAAATACCCCATTTTGGGGTTCGGGTACAAGTTCTAACTTTAATGAAAAAGTGCATTTTTTATGTTGTAAACATGTGCCGAGTTTGGTTTTCCCACTGCCACACATTATAAAGCTAACTGGGGGTGTCCAGACTTTATCTTGCTTGGTCATCTTAAATATTAAAATGGCTGCCATTTTGATTAGGGGTGTAATATTGACCTCTGGTTTGCGTCATTCAATTTCTCTCGATAAACCCTTTAAAATGAGGGGTCACATGGTAGATGTTTACATTTGTAAATTTGGGGCTGCCCCCAAAATACCCCATTTTGGGGGCTGGGGCAAAGTTGTAACTTTCATGAAAAAGTGTGATTTCTTATGTTGTAAATATGTGCCGAGTTAGGGTTTCCTACTGCAACGCGAAAAAAAGTTAACTGGGGGGTTCCAGACTTTTGCCTAACCCTATAGCCTTACGCACTCATGCCAAATTTTATCGGCTTAAAGAGAGAGAGAGAGAGAATGAGAAAAAGAGCAGCACGGCCGCCACGCAAGCAACCTTAGCTGCGGTCGCAAAATTCCAGTGTATATTGTTCGTCAGTCTGGTAACGTTGCACAGCTTTGGTGGATTTATTATTGGAGTTCCTTCTTTTAATGACAGTAAAGTGGTGGGTTAATGTCAAATTGAGAGGCATTTGAATACCTGAGATAGCACGCACGGTTATTATTCACTTAATAATTTATGTTAGATTATGTGGGTATAGAACAAAAGATAAAAATATTAAGCCAAGCCATCCCTTTTGTTGTTTATAATACTTTGATAAAGCTTTTTATGTTTACATATTTAACATTTGAGAATTTAAACGTTGTTGAGTGCACAGGTGTGCTGCATTTGGGGTTTAATACATTTCGACTTAAAGTAAAATAGTTTTCTGTGCTGCACTCTGTGGAAACATTGTGGCACTATTTCAAATCATGACTAATACAGTATGTTGGTTATTCAAACCTATACAAAACAATTGCCGGGTAACAGCTAGTTATATTTACTACGGTAGGTGAAACGCGTCGAAATCGACGGTTTTATTGAGGCTTCATCTAACTTCGCTAAATTGTGTGAAATTATACATATTTTGAGCATTTAGCATTGTTTAAAGAGTAATAAGTGTAAAAATGATATTAATTGTGTTAGTTACCAAATATGGTTGATCATTCAATGAATCAAATATTTCTTAAATCTGTACGTCATCGGAGTT